GATATGCACTTGGTTTTGTGAACCGAACAATTTCCAGACCAGTAGAAACAGCATTTAGTGCAGTGTTCGGGTTTTTGTTTTCAACATTCAACACTGTATAAAATGACTAATCAGTCGTGCAAGTAACCCCACAGACACACACATGCACACTCAGCTCAGACAGAACATACAACGTGCGGCATTAGAGTAGAATGTCGTTACAATGGTTGTCACGGTATCAAGACGTCAGGTAATGATGAGGAAAGGAGGCGTCAACATACAGCACATGCTGTAAAAGTAGTACGTTAAACGATGCGCCTTTCTTCATATGTCATCAGGCATCTGGAGTTCAATTTGAAGTTCAGTCAATGCTTTCTGGGAAAAACACGCTTCAAGAGTCAAACACAAGATAAGTGTTCAAAGCATGATCAGGCATGACGCAAAATTTGGAATCACTGCACCAGGACATCACTTCCCTTCCAAATTAGCAGGACAGTTACTTCAATATCTGTTGGCGTGCACTTTTTAATTTGAGCAAGCAAGCTGTGTAGGCTACGCGTGCGTGTGTGTGACCGCACGTGAGCGAGTGCGAGGGGTGCGCTGTTGACTCATGACAAAAATAGCGGATTCCTCACTCTCCTGGCAGCACCTATCGTTGCCATCGCAAATACAATGGTTTCCGTAGCAACCGTGAAAATAGACTCCACATTCACACTCGGAAATAGCAAAAGGACGGCGGCTCGAACCCCAGAGTGCCGCCACCGCCGATCACAACGAGGAGAACCGATATCAGCTGCACTCACTTGTCAGCCCATTCCCATTGCAGCATTTAGCCAAACGGATTTATTGACGCCTACATAAACAGCCAGCCCCGATACGCCCTGAGTGGGATAATATTGACCTGCCTGTTTGATAAAATCATTTTGCACCAAAAGGAAACCTTGCACGATAACTGTTGTTTATGATTTGATACATGTAATACACGCACAAACACGACCAGGAGCCGTGTCACATGTTAAAGACTGTTGAAATGTAAAAATGTGTTGCTGGAGATCGAGTAGAGCAATGTATGTTGCCTTGGTGATTCTCCAGTGTGAAGGTTTGTAATGCAGTGAAACAGCGAAACAGCTGAAAGGGTCACAAGTGATACATGTGACGAGTGACGCGCGGTTTATGATCCCCATTAATGTCATGACTTAATTCAACCTGAGCATCGCGTCATTGTATAACATAACGTCACGTAAAATAAAAATCTCATTACTGGTAACTTGATGCGTATGATAATTAAGCCTTTGTAGAATGCCTAACAGGCTTATTGATTGATCTGTCTATTATTTAATGTTGTTCATTTATTTGTATTATTGTGGTTCTTGTGGTTTAGACTACTTTGCTGAATGTCTTAATTATTGTATTTTTATCATTCATATTCTTATTATTCTGTGAGGTGCGCTTGAGTGACATGAAAGTCACTTGAAATGAAAACGTATTACAGTAACAAATAAAACAACGAGCTTCCCCAAACACACCACATGGTGGCAGTGTTTCCTCTATATTGAACATAAAACGGCCTACAAAACCGTGATGCAGTTGTGATCGTCAATGATTGAGACAAAATATGTTCAGTGTCCCATTATTCAAATGGATGTGAGATACAGTAATAATGATTAGTTTTTATCGACCCTGTTTGAGCTGTAACAATTGTGGTTTACAGTGGTGTAGAAGTGTACTGCGTCATAATACAGTATTTTGCCTTTCAGTATGTCGCAATACACTGCTAAATACTGTCCCTTAAAGTGGTGAGCGAGTTGCAAAAAGATGTTTGACAAGAATAGAGATCTTACAAGTTGTGAGTGATCCTTCCAGAGAGAAGCCCTAACAACATGTTGGATATTACTTTTACCCACTTGGACTGCCTCGTTTATAATTCATGGGAGGAGCGTACATCTGTAGGCGTTATGTCCTTCTGGAAGGCCGCTGACTAAATGAACTCAGTCATGCAGTCGAACACACCAGTACGTCTTCAAATCACAACCGTAGATACAAAATGAAAGGATGACTGCTTTTATGCACATATAAGCATCAGTCACAGTTCCACAAATAAGCAGAGTCGTATTAGTTGAGGTGTGAGTGTGGAGCCACAATCACTCTCCTGTATATTGACAACCATCATGCCTTCCAATGGGAGTTGGAAGAAAGATCAATGCCCTGATGCTGAATACATTCCATTATTGATGGTGGGCGATTGCATCACCTTCCACACACTTGAGTCCATTTGCAACACAACACCTACTGCATGAGAACAGTTAAGATCCTGGATGTAGTCATGCACAACAAATGCAGCACAGATGAAATTAATGTTAACAAGTGTGCGGGTGTAGAGTTAGTCACATTCCAACTTCACAGGGTTCCACTCAAACAGGGGCAGGAAAACTTGTGTGCTGAAGGTCCGGAAAAAAATGTATATAATTTTTTTAAATTTTAATAATGGAAACATATTTACTTTTGAAAATGTTATTGGTAACTACAATTAATTAAACTATTATTGGGTGGTGGCACGGTGGTCGACTTGTTAGTCTGCTTCAATATGTTAACATCCTCCAACTGTGTGAAAGACATCTTGATGTTTTAATTTAAAGACTGCCTCGCTGCGTCTTGCTTTCCATCCAATACTCTCATGATGAGACTTTCCTCCGTTCTAATTACTGCGGGGCTTTCGGGGTCGTCAGTCATTCAAGCGGTTAGGCTGTCACATTAACAACCGCTCGGGTTCTGGCTGGCGACAGGCTCAAATATCTCCTTGGTGCTCCTACAGTCGTCTTTGATTTCAACCTTGGTATTGATCATAACACTTTAACAAGCTGAGCAGCATTTCAGTGTCGGCGCCATCAGTGTGTGAGAGATGCTGAGGTGTTAGCGCCTGTCAAGGTCGTGTGTTCACTTGTGTAACCTGCACAATCTAATGAGCTCCAATAGTCAGCCTCCATCCAATAAATTTGCCTTCACTCTTAAAGCTTCAGCGTCAATAGAAACCCAGATTGGGTGAAATCGCCAATCCGGCGTTGGGTTCATAGAGGCCCGAGCCAATGGTGAGTTATTATCCAGCACCCTAGCGTTAAAGCTACCAAGAAATGGGTTAGCACATATTTCCGAACCCATTTTCCGAACCGCTTTATCCTCGCAAGGGTCACGGCGGGTGCTGGAGCCTATCCCAGCCGTCTTCAGGCAGGGGGCACCCTGAACCGGTTGCCAGCTAATCATAGGGCACACAGACACGAACAACCAGGAACAATTTAGAGTGCATGTTTTTGGAATGTGGGAGGAAACCGGAGTACCCGGAGAAAACCCACGTAGGCCCCTGGAGAACCTGCACAACTCCACACAGGAAGGCCAGAGCCGGGATCGAACCCACGACCTCTTCACTATGAGGTCGACGCACTAACCACTGGACCACCGGGCTGCCCTGGGTTACATGCTGTTTAAATATAACTTTATTCCCAAAGTTTTCTAAGAAGAAGCAGTTTGTCCTGTGATGGGTTGACACAACAATGTGTTAGGCACAGGTTTTACACCAGATGCCCTTCACGACACAACCCATCATTAGTCAGTGTGTCGTGGTGACCCCTGCACGAGACCATAACGCCGACATTTTCAATAAGCCCCCTTAAAAACACCTGGAACAGAATACTTCCATGGCCATTCTGCGAACACGCTGATCCATCCCACACAGCTGCATGCACATCACGTCCGAGCAAAGGCTGCTGCAGTGCACACACACACTTGCCGTGTCCTTCACCCCAGTGGCGAGAGATGCGCCAAGAGGAAGGTCTTCATCATGACACGGATGTCATTGCTTGCAACATAATGGCAGTGCGGGACGATTTATGCCTACTCCTACCTCTGCATGTTTTACTTTTGTTTGTTTTCAAGAAAGCTGCACCAAGTCGTTCAGTAATCAATCCCGCCACCTTGCAGAGGTTACACTCACGGAAAAGAGATGACAGAGGGTCCTCAGTTTACAACAGAGTTCTGTTCCTATGGCGTAGTAGTAAACTAAGTAGGTTGGAATTCACCATATTGCAGAAATTTCCGTGGAAATTTTTCACATAGTCCAAAAATGTATCATTTCTCTATCTTTGTTCATTTATTTATGCCAGGCAGAAAAATGAAATGATCTTCCCCTATACTACCACTATTTCAGTATGCAACTTTTTTGGGTGACATTTTTTTCATGGTGGTGAGCAGCGAGAGTTTTCTAATGTAAAATATTTGCTTTGGATAAATAAACATATTTCTGCACTCAGCCATTCACTCACTCTGCCAAATATTCGAAAGGCTTTTTATATTTTGGATTTATAGTTCAATCATCAGTCTAGTTCAGGGGTCGCCAATGCGCTGCCACGGGCCCAATGTAAAAATAGCTCACCAGTAATGGGACATTGTGATGTTCTGGGGATAATTCATAGGCAGAGAATCATAGAAGTAAAGTGTTCAATTGTGATATTGATCTGTTTCACAACTATTGTGAGAAATCATTAATGCAATCAGTGTCTTCGCATGTAGAGTATACATCCATCGTGGCATATAAAAATAATCAATGTATTGTATTTAAGTCAGAAATATTGAACACATGAGGATAATAGGATGAGCATAAAAATGCGTTTCACTTCCGTGGTATACAAATAGGCACTGAACCCAACCGCTACTCAAACATACGAAAAAAGCAAGAGGTATGCACAGTATAAATGTGTGCGAGAAACACTTTTGAGGTCGAAAATATCAAACTATAAAATGAAAAGCAGTAAACAGCCTTCTAATTTGTAACCTGTGAGGGCCTATTTGCGCACCGTTCGTAACAACGAACCGTAGTACGACAGGGCCGTCCTCATCGTTTCTCAAAATTATTTCAAGTCCAAATCAATTAGGAGGTGCCATGTCTGAGATTGTCAGGTTTTGTCTTGGATGGACGCGTGCTGTGTGGGGGGAGAGCGGAAGGAAGGAAGGAATGAAGGAAGGAAGAGAAAGAAAGCGAGAATTGAGCGGTGACGTGACGCCCATTGCATCAACTGTATCACATGGTGCCTTCGCTCTTCTGCGATCAACACTGCGGACGGGCTGCTTCCGCGGTGCTACTCACTCTTTTTGTGATGTACTCGCTGCAGGGGGGGGCAGAAAGGGAGCCACCGGCCGATCCCGTACAGGAGCGGCTCGCCGGAGATTGGACCCAAGACTAAAAGCCAGGAGTTTATTTTGGTCTGCTTGCTGCAAAGAATCAACACATGGTAAACCCCGTGCATGCGGAACACATTTTAGCCTTTCTTCTGCCGCCCCCCCCCCAAAACAAAAACAAAAAAAAGTGGGGGAGGGCGTGATACAAGGAAGATAAACAGACAGATGCATGTGCTTATTTTATATATTTCTTAAATAAAATAAATGCCGTTTTTTTTTGTTCATCCGAGTCAATAGAACTTTTGGGCTGTGACCTGCAACGCAATGCACCTCCAGATTATGCAGCATACCTGACTGTTTACTGTGCACGTTATCTCCAACGAGGGCGGAATATCATGAATTCAATGCAACAGTTCTGATTCAATGAATATAAAAGAGAGTTTTTAATTTGTACATACAGGTTAGGATTTTGATCCATTTTATAAAAGGTTTGAAGCTAAGCTGAAATAAGATGCTTGGGTGCTTATAGCATTTTGTGATTTTTTTTTTTTTTTTTTTAATTGACACAAAATATTTTTGGGGTGATTGGCATGGCTGCCTCACAGACTTTAAATTGCAAACAGATTAGAATGATTGTTTGTGCATACGACTGGCTCGCGACCGGTGCAGGTTGGACCTCACTTTTCACCCAAAGTTAGCAGAGATAGACTCCAATTCACCTACGACTCCATTGAGGACATGTACAATCGAAAATGAATGGACAAGAGAACAGAATGAACTCGATTAGATTAAAGAGATGTTATTCTTTTTATATATGCAGGTTAAAGAGCGTCATGGGTTGGAATTTTGGTGCCTTCCATTAAAAAAAAGCAAATTCTTACAAACAAACAAAACCTAACAGGGGTGCCGCTAGTGTTGCGATCGTGATGGATGCACTTTTGTCTTGAAATGAAATGCGCTTGTCGATAACTAACATGCCAAAGTGTGGACACGAGTTCTAAATAAGAAGTTAACCCTTCCAGGGACAGCGGTTACTACATCTAATCATGTTATCGGTTTACAGGGTGCATGAACGGGTTCAACTCAAAATCGTCAGTCAATAATCAACTGGATTATCTCCACAGATCCATGATTCTCATCCACTGTGAAGACTTCTGAGACAATGGGGAGATTGTACACACCTAATCGGTCGGTGTTGAGGAGGAGCGTCTTTCTCCTGGTTGGGCCTCTGCTTTGGTCACAGCATGCCAGCGGACAGTTCATAGGAGGCCCGCTGGACTGCCAAAAGACGTGCGTGTGCGCCAGCAGCATCATCAGCTGTTCCAAAGGGAATCTTACCAACCCCCCCACCCCTCTTCCGAAGTACACATCGGTGCTGGACCTCAGTTTCAACTCCATCAGCAGACTGCGAGCAGAGTGGACACCCATCGTGCTGAGTCGACTCCATACGCTGCTGCTGAGCCACAACGGGCTCTTCTTCCTGTCCTCGGAGGCGTTTGCGCACGTGACGAGGCTGCGTTACCTGGACTTGTCTTCCAACCGGCTCCGCCAGCTGGATGAGTACATGTTCGAGCCGCTGGAGAACTTGGAGGTACTCCTGCTTTATAAGAACAGCATTTCGCAGATCGATCGCTCCGCCGCTTTCTCGGGGCTGGTCAACCTGCAGAAGCTCTACCTGAGTCACAATTTGATCTCGCGCTTCCCCTTGGAGCTGGTGAAGGACCGAAGCCGCATCGAGACGCTCACGCTGCTGGATGTCTCCTCCAACCGGATCAAAGCGCTGACGTTTCATGAGCTTCAAGCTCTGCCCGCGTGGATCAAAAACGGTTTGTACTTCCACAACAACCCCCTGCCGTGCAGCTGTGATCTTTTCAACGTGGTTGCGCGCTGGCACCTCAAAGATCTTAGCTCAGTGGTGGACTTTAAGGATGAGCACACTTGCATCCTCGCCGGTCAACCGAAACGAAAAGTGGTCACCCTTGAACTGGATAAAGCTTATTTGAACTGCAGCGAGGTCAAGATAATGGACAGGGAAGCCTACCTGGAGCAGTTTGTGGTGCTGGACTGCGACACCAAGCAGAGAGACATGGTGAAGACCTGGACCCTGCCAGGAAACATCCCGATGTCTCCGGCAAACAAAAGCGCAATAATACTCCCAGATGGAAACCTTCAGCTCGGACCTTTAAAGGAGGATGACTCCGGCGTGTACACCTGCCACGCCACCGCAGACACCCTAAACCAGACACTCTGCTTCACCCTCGTGGTCTTTAACAGCACCACAAATGCCAACTCGGAGAACCTGAAGACGGCGTACACCACGCTCATAGCGTGCCTGATCAGCATCGTGATGGTTTTCGTCTACCTCTACCTCACACCTTGCCGCTGCGCCTGCTGTCCGAGTCAAGATCCGGAGAAGGACGACCCATTGGGCAGCCTCCACTCCTCCACCGTCAGCGACACCCAAAACTACCAAGAGACTGAATCCGAAAAAGGGAACGAGGGCGGCAGAGACTTCGCCTACGACACCAAAGACCCGTTGGAGCAGAACGGGAGGTTGAACCCAAAAGGCGAAGAGGAATGGAAGGGGGCAAACAAGAAAAGAAAGGCGTCGATCAGCTCTGTGAGCTCAGACACCCCCATGATGGTGTAAAGGTCGTTTGGGGAGGGGGGGGTGGGGGGGTAGTGCAGAAAAACCACTGTGCATGCCTTTGATGCAAGATTCCAAATGACTCAACATGGAAGTGCTTTGACTTGATCCGTTTGTTGAGAGTCCGAAAGTGACGCTACTGTACAGCCTATTCCAGTCAATGTGTACAAGCTTCCTACACTGAACTGTTGATGACATCCAGGAAGCTTTCTTTGCTCAGAGGACATAAATGAAAGGACCTGAAAGGTTCTGGGCATTAATGCCCCAACCCTGAGTAGACCAGACCGCCACAATAACATTGGTGCGGTCAACATACAAGTAGCAACGCTCACACCAAGACACCATTAGAGCAGACAACAGATCGGTGAAAACTGACAGTTACAGATGCATAGAAATAAGGTCCAAAAATATTTCACATATGCCAGAAAAAAAAAGTTGTAGCATTGAATGAGCTTTTTTTTTTTTTTTTTTTTGCCTTACTTGCACTTGCCACTAGGACCACACTGAAAAGGAAAAAAAAAAACATTCTCAGAATAAAATAAATATAACGATGGTGACAGTGGCATGCTCATCTCAGACTGTGTTTAGCGTTTTGTTCATTTTCCTTACGACAACATAATTTCACCATATTACAACTTAGGTATTTTTATTCAGTGTGGCCCTTTAATACTCTCATGTAGCATTTCAACCCTGAAGGTGCTTCCCATCGACACGCCTAAGCACGAAGAAGACATTCTGAATATGCAGCATCATATTAAAGGTCGAACAATTCTACTGAATGTATATGTCGTGTTAGAATTACATGTTTTAGTGTGAACAACATTCGTCAATATTACAAGACAAACAGAGAACGTGAATAATGTAACTTAGCCAAAAGTCTGTATTACAATCCTGAGAATACCTTACGAGTTTGAGTACAGCCATGAAATGCTATCCACTGAAAAGATGACATCATCAGCTCACTTTAATGCTGATTTAATGCCCGCGATATTATGCGACCTTGTGGCGAAGGCTAGAGGTTCTACGGCGGCTCGTATAAATAGAAGCAGTGGCAGGGGGGGAGGGAGGGGGTGGCAGGCTTGGCAAGGAGCACATCGAATATTTAGGAGGTCACTGGCAATATTCTTGTCGAAGAGCTGCTCAGCACTGTGGTGGTTTAACTCGGGAACATTATTGCTGTTCACTCCCACTGATCACTTCAGACCTACTCCAATGTTCATTCTCTTCTCTACCTTACAACAGCGGCGTCATCATGGAGGACGATTCCCTGCTATTTTAGATGAAGGGAAAAAGAACTGGAAGAAACATTTATTGCTTTGGCCGCCTTTGAAGGTTTATGTGAACAAAACTACAGTATCAATGTAAGACTGCAGTTCTGTAAAGTAACATTTGTGTCTTTTGGATGTGTACTGTACTATTTAAATGGACAAAAAGGCATCTTAGTTTATTTAGCTTGAGACCTGAATTAAAAATGCGGTTCCTACTCTTACCATGTTAAACTTACTAAAATATATCCTGAACAAACATTACGTTGTCATTGAGAATCTGACTCCTTTCAATTGAGCAAAACATCTCTTGAAAATGGTCACGCATCACTACACGGAATGTCCTTTTCTGTTCCAGTTTGACTGTGCCGCAGTGTATGAAGCAAAGTCCATTGAAACGTTATAAACTTGATGTATGAAAAACCCAATAAACACCTTTCAGAGTCAAGTCCACTTTGAGGTCCAATATGTCTGACCTCGAAAGATAACAGCATTATATGGACAAAGATATTGGGATTTCTGGCGCTACGGGAATTGAAAGTGGAGGAAAAATCAGAAGTTGTTCACCTCATCGTAACTATGAGGTGTCTGAAAGTTACAAAGTTAATATTTCAGATCCAAACTACAAACTAACAGTATTTCCCCTTCGGTGTAATGCCCCTTCCGGTCGACCCCACTTTTCTGGCCTTCCCTGGCATGCCTTCAAGTACTCCTGGAAATACTCTTACAGGTATCCCTCAGCAGCTCCGTCGGCCATCTTGATGTTGTCCACGTCTTCAAAACGGGTGCCCTCAATGATCCCCTGGACCTTCGACAAGAGGAAAACGCAAATCGTACGGAAGCAGGTCGGGTAAGTCGGGAGGTTTCTCCAGCACAGCAATGTTATTCTTGGCCAGGAACTGTCAGATGCTTAGGCAATGTGTGAGCAAGCGTGTCGTCATGCTGAGACAGCTGTGAGTTGTCCTGGCACAACACTTGCCTCTTCTCGTGCACCGATCAGAGCAAAGGCCGCGTCATCTGTTTGAAATTTGAAATATATCTTTCGTGACACCAATCCTGGAATTTTCCTGGCAGAGAACTTCAAAACAACACAGCATGTTTGTTTCACAGCTAAACTGACCTGACGTGTGTGTATTTCAGACTTCAATCTGCTAAGTGGCATAGACGCCTGTTGGCTCATGTTACTGTATTACACTAATCCAGTCTGTCTTGATTACTTAAGAGTGAAACAGGAGAGCCTGCAGATGGCTGTAGCGCAAAAAAATACTCTTGTATCCTTCTGTCCGTGTTCTACTGGATATGCTTCCTCATTTATTCTTATTTGAAACCGCAAATCTTCTCTCCGGTAGCACTCTCGTACCCTCTCCTCTTGGGGTCTTTTGTTTTGCACCGCTAAACCATTACCATTATAAGAGGCCGGTGCGACAGATTTTCACCAGTCATCCCTGAGGGTGAAACCTCACCAGCTGCTGGATTCATGATTGAAGCGGTCTGGTGCACTCTCATGTTACCATGTTTACCAACAATGGAGGGAACGCACAGTCGCTGTGTGCACTATACACTGAACTGTCCGGAGAGAGCAGTGCAGCGACTCACCACTCATTCCACCGACTGGCATTTTGTTCTGACTGAGATCATTCAGATCAGTCAAAAATGAGCAATCCCACGGATATGAACTCAAGATTATTAATAGAAACACGTGCAAAAGGGGCCCGGGATTGGATACAGCGTCAAATTAACATGCGTTGTCATTGAATAATCGAAGCTTAGTTCTAGTTGAAAGTGCAGAATTTTCAATAAGATGACTCACGCTGGCTCAAAGACCCCTTTTGAGACTCTCACATGAAAGGTACATTGAATGGGACATGCAATGCTTGCTGCGGACTGTGCTGCCATCTAGCGGCGACCACCTCTAACTGCACGCAAAGTCCCTCGCTGCGAGCTTTTGGGACTCGACGATTTTGGTGTGAATTTCAGACTCAGCGTCTTATTCGATTCGAAATGGTGGACAGAGAGCGAGGCTGCACTAAATACCATGACGACGAATCATAAATATTTTGAGAAAATGTCTCTTCTAACTCAAACCTAAAAAGGAGTTTGTTTGGACTGGAGACTGTGAAGTGGAAGGTAAACTGCAGCGCTTAGATAAAGAAAGGTCAGCAAACATCCTCGTATGCTCTTTGGTCACGGCATCAAAAAAAGTCTCAAGTGCATCCATTTTGTGAACATTTTACACTGCTTAGGGTTCACGGAGCGCTGCACCACATCCAAGCCGATTTGATTGGTTGCCAAGGAAGCACAACCCACATAGTCAGAGATAAGTAGAACCATTCGCATTCGTATTTGCAAGGTCACTGAAAAGAAACCACACTGCCTGCACTGAAGTCAGACAAAAGTAACCTTGACATCATCAGTAACCATCTGAGGAATATGATGTGCAGAGAAGCATTATTTGCATTTTCCAAGTCTAATGGTGGGGTTCTTTTGCCTGAGCGAAGATTAGACAGATTGGAATCCGTTTCCACACTGTACGAGTGTGAGGATGAGTTTGTCTGTTGCTTTATGTCAATGAGTAACGACAGTCCATGGTGTATTCTTCCTTGGGCCTGAAGTCATCTGTGATTGTTTCCAGCTCACTTGCACCCTCAACAGGATAAGCAGTGTAAAAAGATGGAAGTACAGTATCTTAACATCCACCACCATATCTTGTGAAAGTGTTTTAACCCCCCCCCAAAAAAAAAACAGAAAACTGAATACATTTATTTTTGTCCAGAAACAACTGACTTTATTCAGAATATCAAATGATCAACATATAAGAAACAAACGCGAGACAGTAATTTATACACAGAAGTAGCACATGACGGCATGGCATTGCTGTCATTGAGTACTCAACGGTACAGAGTACTGCTACCTCTACTTTTGATCAGAAAAAATTCATTTAACACACTGTCAACCTGTCAAAAAGGAGCTTTCTTTCTGACACAGATGATGATTCGCCATTGTAGCAATCTGCTGCAGTATTGCCAAGGACTGACTCGGTGCCTTTTTACCCTTTAAGTATTGATGGCTGGTATCAGCATCATCCATGAGTACCCAATACCTTAAAATAAGACCGGTATTGACCTTATACAGATACCTTGTATCGGTACTCATCCAACACTAATTTTCATGATGTGATGATCACCTGATTTGCTCACTCAAACAAAATTCACCTCCGGAATGAGATATTTAAACTATCAATCCATTGAAGCTTATGCAAGTCTACATGAATAAAATAAAATGATTTACTGTTGAGAGCCAATCTCTACAATCTAATTCGATTCAATACAGGAGCTCTAGCAGGCACTTCAAATATGTTACAATCGCTACATGATGACAAGTCAAATAACTGCACGACGAACAGCTCTCCTTATGGGTTACTGTATTTGCTACACTGCAAACTGGGATAATAATAAACACATGGGTCAATTAATCATCATCCAAAACAACACATCACCATCCTCGGCAAAAGAGAATTGGAGATGTAGGTCTCTTAGTTGGACATTAGATCGTAATGATATCTATCACTAAAACCACAGGATGCTTCATCGTCAACAATTAAACTGTTAGGCCCGCCCTCACAACAGGCCACAAGTTTGAACGAGTGGCCTGCCGTTGACCTCCGGTTTTGCAGTTTCTCTGTGATTCAAATATAATACAATATACTGTATGTGGCGCCTCAAAACCATTTCGTTTTGAGGCGGGCCTCACGTCTATCCATGACATTGAACTCCACTTACCTTTAAGTGGACTGCTGATGTCATCTCATCAGTTCATCTTCATCATCTCTGCGCCCATGCCGACACTAAAAAGGGATGAATGGCAACAGGCAAAGAAGCGGTTGACCTACCACTGCTAACAGTTTCACTCCCGTCTCCACAAGAGGTCCGACAGTCCATCTGCAGCTTTTGTAGAGTGGGCGATGCACATGTTCACTGTGTAGAGGAGAATCAGCATTTCAACTTTGCAAAGGCAGCGACTAATCCATGGGAGTCGGTCAGACACTCACAGCTTATCTCTGTTGCATGTGACCAGTTGTTACATTTCATCTTGCTCCACCAGATCAAGTTTGGATGATTTTACGTGTCAACACACTCAATGGACCCTGTTAGGCATATGAGTCAGTACAAAGAAATGGGTACATTTTAAAAACCTCGTTGTGCATAACAATGCTCAGTTTTTATGGACACTGTCATGAGATGTAATGTGCATAACAATGCTCAGTTTTTATGGACACTGTCATCATGAGATGTAATTAACATATTTTAGTTTGGCTGGCCTGCATGAGCATGAAAAAAAATGATTAACAACTCGATACCCCCCCACAAACTACAAAGTAATAATGACACTACGAAATAACTGTCCAAAAATACTGAGCATTAACGGACAGTGAATGTGTGTAGAATATATTATTTGGGGCGGTGGCGGGGGGGATTCTTTTGTCTTTGTTAATTGTCAAATCTTCCAGATCACGTTAATCTGAAAAGGTAGAATTGAGTCAACTGGATCCTAATCTTCCAAAAACATTCAAAAGGACTTTGGCAATTGTGCTAACAATGCTTTGTGTTTTGCATGCTCACCTGCGGAGCAGAAGTGGAAGCGTCCAAATCACAGCACCAGGAATTCTTGTGTCCGCTTGAAGTCAGTCTGGTCCCACGTGTTGGAAGATGAGCACGAGCAATGTCTGACATCCTGCTCTTGAGCCTTATTCAATGTCATTAAACTACTTTGTAAAAAGGAAATTACATAAATCACCACCTCGGGAATAAAGATGGTCGTCTCATATGCATGAGTGTTTTTTTCTTTTTTGGTGTTCCATTCCAGTTAATGTCAGATAAAGGCGGCGCCGCTCTCTGACGTAGACAAGTGTGGCCCTCACACGAGGTTCTCCAAGCGAGAATACGACAATGCGAACAAAACATGCCTCCGTGTCGACCTGGGGCAACCGCACCAGTGGTCCAGATGAGACCCGAGGCCTACAAAAAGGCCATGCAGATGGACTGGAAACCACATTGAAAAGAGGTCAATCAATTGTAATCAACACACTGATTCGTGTGGTTCTTTTTCCTGGGAAGTCAACGCTTCCTCTCCTGGTCGCTGGGAAGCTTCCCACTGTCAGAGCCCCCCGTGAGACTTTTGAGCTTGGATAGACAAATCCGAGAACAGAAAAGGTCACAAAGGTAGTCTTTCCTTGAGGTTCCCACGAATGAGCAAATTTATTGAGACACAATCTGCGAAGTGCACTTTGTTTACTCCCCACGAGCACGGCCGCTCTCCGTGTGCGTGTCCAGATATCCTGAGTACACAGCACACACGTTCCATTTGAAAACAATAAAAGGAGACATGGCGAGCAACAATGAGAAGTCCCATTTCGAGGGAGGAGAGCTAGCTCAGCGCTTCCTCCCCCTTCTGATTATAATTCATCCAGAGTCCGTTCCAGCCAACAAGCAATATTATTTCAATCACACACTCCCGATACATTTTTTTTTAAAAAACCCGATACACTTTGTTGCTGATTACACCAAAAAAAAAAAAAAGACAATATTTGACATGATTGAATTGGTTCTTTCATGTGTTTCTAGGTAGTTCTAGCTCAACAAATGTAAAGATTTTCTGACACGGTGCACAACTGAAAATATTTTCACACTACTACTCACTGTTGACTTTCAACGTGAAATGTTGAATGTTACGGAGGACAACATTTGTCTATTAGGCAATAATGAAAGTAAATTATTGGATAACAGTTTACAAATATGCTACGTCACAATTTCTAGCAAAAAATACAAAATAAATTGAAGCATTCCTGCGATTCTCTACTAAAGGATTGGCTACTTGTTGCACACGCTATCACTGTGATGTGTCTTAGAAGGGAGCTAAGGCATCAAAAGTTAACACTCACTATGTATGGTCACATTTTTTGTGGGGGTCCACATATCGGGTTGACTTAAACAAAAACAACATTAAGACTTGCTCTTTAGGATTCACCCCCAAAATCTATGTACTTGAGTGAGATTTGTCACAAAGTCAAAATGAACATTTTTACCATGTTTCTGTTTAAATGGCCTTCAGTGCAGATGGCAGCATCAATCAAAAATAGTTTCAATTCAAAGTGACTTGTAGCTGTTAATAAAAATTTGAGTGAAACACAGTTTAGGTAACCCCATCTACAAAGCGCACTACACAGCTCACATGAAGCTGGAGTTGAATTTTTTTTTTTCCCCCTCCTCATGATGTCCCTCTAATAATGACCATCACCATGTAGTCATCATCTGATTTAGCAAAAGCTTTTGCGGACTCATCCATAAACTGCATAGAGAACTCACATGGAGGGAAAGCATGAAGCACGCCGCTGTGCTCCTTGTTGCGAGTACCCCCCACGGGGAGGCTGACGATGCCGGCAGCTTCCTTCTGCTTCAGGTAGGACACCAGATTCTTCAGCGGACGCTCCGTGGAGTCTTTGCCGTCTGGAACTGTGCCGTCCTCGGATTTCCCGGGCATGGCGAGGAGGACGGAGTAGCCATTCGATCCGGCGGCCTTAATGCGGCGGGAGACCTCCTCCAGCTTGGGCTGGTCCATCCGCAGGCGCTGGCTGATTTTCAGTTTTGTCGCTTGGCTGCCTTTGGGGCCATCCAGGAGCAGGCGAGAGACCACCGCTGCGTCGCCGTCAAGAAGGTGCAGCACTGTGGGGAAGCAGCTGTTTTTCAGGAGGAGGAAACCTCGCCACACCTGACTCAGCTTCTGGCCGGACAGACGCTCCAAGACGTCCTCCTTCCCCGCCGGGCTCTTGAGCTTGTCACCGGGTTTGCGTTTGCGCTCTTTCTCGGAGCATGAGGCGGCTGCGGTCGGGCTTCTTCTTCTCTTGTCCTGACTGTTTGGGCGCCCTCTAGTTGGGGAGGCCCGACCAGGGCGAGACACGCGTTCGCCATCACTATCGGCACCTCCATCTGCGGGGCTGCGTTCGGCGGGGCTGCTGACATGCGTCGCGCCATTGTTTTCAGGCGAGCGATCGGGGCGCCACGCGTTCTCCAAGTCTCGTCTCCGGCGACTTGCATCTCCTCTTTGCAACTCCCACTCACGGTCCACCGGCCAGTGCTCACCGGAGCGTCTGTCCAGGTTAGCAACAGGCAGGAAACCAGACCCTCGCATCCTGTCATGAACACCCAAGCCGGACCACTCAGCGGGAGAGGTTAGAATCCGCTCTCGGAAACGAGGGGGCTGCAGCAGTGGCGAGCGATCTCTGATGGAGTCGGCGAAGCGGTGATGGAACGGCGGAGGGACCAAGTCAAAGTGTTGCAGCGGCAGCGGAGGCTGAGTGAACTGCTGCTGCTGCTTGTAGTGGTGCTCAGTGTCAGCAAAGTCCACCCGGATTCTCCTATCAGGACCGCCAAGTGGGAAGCCTCGCATGTTCGTGCACGCGGCCTGAGCGGCATCCATGCTCTCGTACTGAACGTATGCCCATGCTTCGCCTTTCCTGTAGTCTATAGTCCTGATGGTGCCAAAGCGGTCAAACTCTTTGGCCAGGGCGGCGAGGGAAGTCCACGAGCCAAGGCCTCCCACCCACAGCCTGGTAGTGGGCGTCGGTTTGCCGTATCCAATTTTAACCTGGTTGTGGCCCAGCAATTTCCCCGACATGGCCACTTTAGCTCGATGGGCCATGTCGAGATTTTCAAACTTGACAAATCCGAAAGTGGTGCTCTGGCCGCGCACTGCTCGTTTAATGTCCACTACGGTTATAACGCCAAAGCGGTCAAATGCTCGCCGCAGGTCATTCTCAGTCAGGCCTACGTCCAGGTTGCCGAGAAACAACGTCCTGTTTGCCCTCTGGTCGTCATCGGACAAGTTGTCGTTGTGAAATTCTGGAAGGAATGCTGCGTGATTCCTGCCGTCGTAGAGGGAATAATAGGCATCTCTTTCCACATCTGTGAGGTGAGGCAGGGGAGGAGGGGGGAGGGGGCCCAGCGCCATTTGCTGCAACCGGAAGTCTCTGTAGCCCAAACCAGTGGGGGAGAGCTGTCTCTGGGGGAGAACGTGTCTGTGTCCAAGTGGGAAACTGTCTTTCGAAAGCGGGGAGCGGCTCCTGCGCCGATTCATGTACACCACATCAACTTTGAGGGGCCGGTCGAAGAGCACCAGTCGGCCGCGAGCATGCTTGGCCGCTCGGGCGTCGTCGGGCTTCCGGAAATTGACGAACGCTACCCTCTCGTCGTTTTCTCGACTCATTTTTACACTCACGTTTCCAAATTTCTTGAACTCGTGGAACAGTCCGTCTTCTATGTCTTCGTCGCTCAGCTGCGAGCCCAGCTCACTAATTTTAAGAGTCTTGTACTCACTTTCGGGGGACCGCGGGTCGCTGCGCGAAGCGAGGACCGCGCCACCGTGCGTTCCTGGCAGTGCTCCGTAGCCGTAACCATTACCGGCCCGAATGTCCGAAAAATTGTCTCTTTTGTCACCGGGTAAGCTTCTCCTGGACGAGGCGCCGCAGGGTACGTAGCTGTTGCCGTTGTTGCTGGCGACGGTGAGCAGCTCTCCGCTCCTCCTGCTAGCGAGACTCCCTCTTCGCTCTTTGCCGTCATCTGGCACCCGTGAGCGTTTCCTCGCAGGCGAGCGGTCTTTCTCCTTCATTTCCAAACGCCAGTATACGAGGTGAAACACAAAATGGCGTCTTACTACCAGAAATCAAACGAAACCTTCCTAACTCGAAACTAGGCCGAAGGAGACTCCTCACTCGAGATACACGAGCGCCATGTTGGAATACTTTACTACTGTACCGGAAGTCACGTCTGTGTGTCTGCGGAGCGTTATGATTGGCTCAATGAGGACGTCGCTCAACATAACAACAAGTGCGCCAGCCTATCACAAACAAGGGTGCGGCTCCGATGTAGCCCCGAAAGGAGATTTGAAATAGCACAAAGATAACGATTGTGACACGGAGGCATATGCGTTCCCACTTTTCTTTGTGACGCTTCAAGGCGTTCACCCATTGATCAGTTAGGCAGCGTGGTGATATTAATTTGCTTTCAAGCCCACAGCAGGCTAATTGTTTGGTTTTTTTAGTATGTGTGTTTTTGTTGATTATTTATCTCATTACATTGATGCTTTACACTTTGTTATCTTGTTTGATTCAAAGTCTAAAAAAAACATTCTTAGGGGTGGGGAAATATTCATATACGGTGGGCAAACTTTCTTGCAAAATGGTCATATTAGATTTTTAAAACGCACAGATGGGCCAGGTAAATTGATTGATTGTAACTATAAAATACGTAAATGTTTTGTTCCGTCAATAAAATAATGAATTTTTAAATTTGATCATGAACTGATTTAATTATAATTATATTATAATGAATTTGATTATAAATGACTAATTACCAATTTAAAATATGTACAAAATGTAGATGAAAAAATGTATTTATATCAAATATGTTAAACAATTATATAATGATATAAGAAGATAAGAAAGCCTTTATTTGTCTCATAATGGAGAAATTCCCAATTTACAGCAGCAAAATTATGAAAGGGAGAAAGTAGAAGACAAAAAGTATGTAAATAAATATAAATATCATGTATATATATAATGTACATTGATTTATATAATATCATACATGGGGGGGTTGTAGGGTATTGTAGTTAGGTAAAATTCACTTAAAAGTTGTCATTTTTTTAGAATTGTGACAAAACACCTGTTTACAAAATGACGGCGAAACACAACAAAAATTTGCTCACACACACAGAGAAATTACCTTTCGACTTCCGCCCCCTCAATTAATAGTACTTTTTTTTTTCCAAACTAATAAGATTTTTTTTTTCACAAGTTGTCGTAACTAAAATTACCACTAGAGAGCAGCACCTTCTTATAACTAAAGCAAGGTACCAAAGCAAACAACAAATTTCATGGTGTCAAAGACTTTTGGACAGTACTACACTTAAAAAATATATATATATATCACCCTTTAATTGCCTGTCATTAATTTTTGAATAAACATTGTGTTAGTTTTACTAATGTTGTGTTGTCACTTGCATAATTGCTGATGTGTTGGTTTTATTGTGATTATTAAGGGCTTAAAATGCTCAGGCATGTATGTAGGGCACTCCCACACAATGATTACAGCTGAGGAGGGTGAGAAATATGCATGCAGTTTTTCATAAATAGTTATTTTTATACTAAAAAAAAAGACAATTCACCCACATATTATAAATGACTTGTTAAATACAGTACCGGGTTTTTCTGTAGAATTAATCTGACCCATTTACTTGTTGCAAGAAGACCCTGTAATATCATTTCCTCTGGGATAGTCTCAGGGGATTATAGTGTCCAAAAAAATGGGGACAGCAGCTTTGCCCTCAACCCTGTGAGCTGGCCTGGGCTGGCCCCTCTTTGAGAGACCATCTGGTGAAGTTCCTCTCTGGAGGGTCACATGTTCTTGTGGGGGAGGCAATCTGCAACCGGCATTAAAAAAAGACTTGTCTCAGTCTATTTCCAATACATTCACCATTCACTCGTAAAATGAAACCAAAAAACATTTGGAAACATTTACCCTGCAAAAAGGCAAACATAACAGATTAAATATATCAAATCAATATATTTGTTTATTTGTCAGCCAAGATACTTTTTCTTCATTAAAATGCCATTTTTAGACTACTAGGAGTGCATCGAACATTATTGTCAAGAACATTTTTGAATTGACTTCCCCTTTAAGGTAATAGATGACTTTAGGAGAGAGGCGGTGCACTGTACACATTTAATTGAGTCACTTAAATTTGCGTCATTAAATTCCCCCTCATTACACTGTAAAAATGGATGACCACGTTCACGAATGAGTCATCCTACTTGTGTAGCTGTTTAGTATTAAAAACCTGTTTGAGGGCACGTGCCATCTTCCTGCGGCGGGCTTAGGCGAAGCACTGCAGTGTGTGTCATGACAACACCTGACACACTTTTCCCCCCCTGGTCTGAACACCTGCACACTAGCAGCATACCCTCTCTACTGTTAAAAGCACACCGGTATAATAAATGGCCAAACTGCATGTGTGGAAACATATTCACTGAAACCAAATAAGCAATCTGTGCACATTCATTGTTGTAATTATGTTTGTCCAAGTGTTAATACAGATGATAATGGATCTGATATGTGATAATAGCGCAGCCGGGGCTTGAGGCTTATTTTTAGCAGCTGAGACTGACCCAGACGGCGCAAATACAAGAGGAGAAACACAGCAAGGCTGGAGGGAGGGAGGAATTTAAATGAGACTGGAGTGAAGGAAAAGTACTGGGCGGATGTAGCGGTGCAGATGCAGAATCCATGAGCTCACGTGAGTGTAAGTGGGTGTGAGGGAAGACACAGGGAAAAAAAAATTAAAAAATCAAATGGCGGCCCAAGGTGAACGGCATAACGGCGGGGGAGTGCTGACGTCACCCCACAGAGAACAAACCTGAGAGATATACTGTAAAATTGCAACTCAAGATTATGATACAAAAAAAAACTAAACGTTTTTGCAAAAATGTTTCCACCATTAATGTGACTTATAACCTGCCGATTGATTTTTTTTATTTTTTAATGTGAGATAATTTAGTTGCAAAAGTGTACACACCCTCGTAACTGGGATGCGTCTGTGTTCAGCATTAACCAAACGAATTCAATCTCATATTTAAAAGGGAGAAAGCAGCACACACCTACCATCATTTAACTGCCTCTCTTTAACTCCAAATAAAGTATAGATGTTCTAGTAGGCTTTCCCTGACATTGTGGCCATGGCCATTCACACACACATCGATACCAAGAGACAACTTCCAGTCTTCAGCGATCCAAACATGCATGCTTTGGGAATGTGGTTGTCACACCGCAGCGAGGGTTGTTTGTGTTTGTCTGGTCACTTCCTGTTTTATTTTGAAATGCCAGTCTGATTGTCAACCCCGCCCTGATTGTTTTCACCTGTGTTTGCCTTGTGTTTAAATGGTCCTTGTCTCGCTTTGTCCTGTGCCAGTGTGTTTCGTCCTTGTGCGTGCACTCCAGCTTATCGCCCCAGGTCTGACCAGTCCTTGCTTTGTTTCCACAGCCTTGCCATTTTGAGTTGTCAGTCACTGACCCTCAAATAAATCGATCTTTTTACTTTGAACCCTGCAACTGTATCCTGTGTACAAGCCTGGTTCTGACAGTGGAAAGAAGCCAGAGTACTGGTTTGAGCTGAGATTCAAACCAGGAACTTCTCAACTGGGAGGGCCGTTGCCTACATTTCAAATCAACATGAGTATACTTTAGATGCTACGCAGGAATCAGCTAACCAAGACGACTGACCTTCTCTTACACGATGATTCAGATGGACTGTTTGTGCTCTAAATGTCAACTTGCTAACATTAATTATGTAATTAAAATCCCATTGAGCCTGAAGAATATCACACGTGGGAGTGGCACAAAGCTGCGGGACCAAACACACTGCAGAAAACGAGTCAGAAAAGGTTGCGGTGGCACAGCGGGCAGGTGGTGAGCATTGTTATCTCGCAGCAAGACATTTAGAGGCTCAAATCTTGGCTTGTGTTTTTGGAAGCTCTCCAGCTGCCTCCCAAAGTCCATTCCACATTTGCATTTGTCAGTATGTCAGACAGAATGAATCAAAGCAATAGGAGCACGCAGAACCTGGTTTTAACACATTCCACAAACATGGTGAAACGACTATTACGCTAGTTATAACGTTACCAAAGTAATCAGCGCCGTACAAGAGTTGCTTTCTATTTACAGTAGCTTACTTTTTGTACAGGCTGCGACCGGAAAGAGGCTTTTTTTATTTTCTTCTTGCTCTGATGACTGATGAGAGATGCAGAACGATGAGTGTCATGTAACCGCAGCGTTGCTGTGGCAACCATTCCCAGAAGTCAGCCTGAAGAAGGTGTCACCAAGGAAGGACAAAAGGTAGAAAGAGATAAGACTTTGAGCATAGCTGGAACTATAGACAGTTAAAGAAGAAAAAAATATCAAATGACATTTACAGGTAAACCAATTACTCGCTGGCCCTGGACTGGTCGCTTGTCAATCCCAAAGCACATAGAGGCCACACCAGAGATTGGCAACTGGCGTGGCTCGCGACCAAACAGGGAGTGGTCCCTTGATTAGGGACACAATCTGTATAAGTTATTGTTTGTTTTGGGCAGTGGATCTTGTATACACGCATTGAGAAATGCATTATGAAAACTAAAATAGAGTAAGAGCCCGTATTTTACAGGTTTGCATATAATTTATCCAAAATTTAACCCTTTCATCCACCCTGTAACCTGATAACAGGATAGGCTGTCCACTGTAATAACCGCTGTCCCTGTTAAAGGGTTAAAGTGGCATTTCTGTGAAGTGCATCGTCTTATGTGACGCCAGTCGCACCGATGAAAAATTGTGGCCCACCTCCAGCATTTAAATTAGCCATCCCTGGCCTAGTCAAACAACCATTTACACTCACATTCACACCTTAGCATGATTTTGAGTCTTCAAAGAACCTAACTTGTTTTTGGAATGTGTTGAGGAAGTGGAAAAATTATGTCGAATATATTTAATGTTGCTGCATTTTTTTTTTGTGTGATTCCACGAGAGCATTCATGTCAGAATCTCACAAGCTTATTTTCACCCCCCCCCCAAAAAAAAGGTCATACCACATACAAATAAGATGAAAGTGGCATCACTCTGTCACGTCCTTAAGTAGGAGTGACCTTGACAGCGCCCCCCAAGCCCCCCGCCCTGCCACTTTCTCCTGCTTAACATCGAACGGTCCCCATCCGACCACAAACGAATAGCAGGTGATCGTTTGTCATGAGCGTAAATTGTGTGCGTCACGGAGCGGCTCTGTCCCACCCTGCGGGATGCTGCGTACCGCCCCCCACCCCCCAGCTTCTTCCCCCATCCTCCCTCCTTTCAGTCATCCACCCGCCTCACTCAGAAAGGCACACAGTGGATGCGCGACCCACGCGACTCTTTTTCGGCAGTTTAATACAGATGCGTGGATATTTCTGACATCGGCAAAAGACGACCGGTAAGCCATCATGCGTTGTCTTGCTCATTGTCACTTTAACATTTGCAAGCACGATACTCAAAAGCGCAAAAGTCGTTTCCTGATGGAATGCAGAAAAGTTGTGTTTAATCTTTCAGCTTTGAATGAATTGTCATTTTAGATGTTTGTTTTCGAAAGTGTTTTTGTGTCGTTTTGTTTGTGCATTTAGTGATGGGGCGGTCAGTTCGATGCCGGTCTCCTAGATAAAGCAGTTTCTAAAATTAACCAGAAATCATGATGAAGGGTTAAATGATGTGGTTCAAACCGAGAGGCAACACCTTAGGGTGATACGTTTTATTTATAATTCTCCTCGTGGACACTTTTTTAGTGTGGATGCTTTTTTGTTCTTATATGTGGTCTCTTCCCATAGACATGTTCTAAATGTGTGTATACGTGTGTGTGTGTGTGTGTGTGTGTGTGTGTGTGTGTGTGCCTGTGACCTTGCTGGAGCAAGAATATAACCAGCATGATAAGTGAATTATTAATGAGGGACTATTGATTTTTTATGACCAGAGAAGTGTCCCTGTCTTGTGTCATTGTTTAAAAAAAATGCTGGAAACTCTTCCCAAATTACAGAATGTCACTTAGAAACAGATGGCTGTTGCAGTCTTTCCAAATTGTGCTAGATAAGTCTAAATCTGTTACCGTGGAACCTTCAAGGTCGAACAGTCTGTTCCGGCATGTTGATCAGCCTCTGTTTTGTTCATATTTACAACAATAATTGTCACAAAATAGAATACAGTCATGGGAATAGAAACGATATGTTCCTATGCGGGAATATTAAGTAACATTACAGCAACAAAACAACCTGACTCACCGTTTAATGATGCATGACGGAAGTGAAACGTTGAAAGCAGTGCAGCTTAAGCTTGCTGATGGTGAGTCAACTTCATCATACTTTATAACTGCCACACAAGTGTAAAAAGAAGACAATAGTGTACATTGAATAAACAAAATAAATGCAAGTAAAAAAAAAAATTGCCACTACCAGTTGAAGTTTACTGTCAAATTAAAAACTAAACAAATAGAATCACAGATTGTGTATTTAAAATAACCACACAGCTCTGCTTTAATAAATACCGCTTAGCTTTATGCTAACCAACAACTCAAAACGCAATAGAATGAACGGCATCAGTGTCACGGTGTTATCACGGATATTCACACACAAATGTGGAGCAACACATGTAGACAGACAATATACACCTAGATATATATTCTTTATCCTGTTTTATGAAAAAAGTATCAATATTACTGTGGCTTACTGAGTCTGTTGTGAAAGTCTTCATAATGTGTGTCTTTTTGTGTACATTGTACTGCAGCCTGGTGGCCAAGGTGTGCACACCAGAAAGTGCAGCCCAATGTTCGTTGAATTGAAGCAAAAAATGTGGCAAAACTGCTCAAATATTTACATTCTATGTAATGAAGTCATAAGTGTATGTTTTGATAAAGTACAATCATTAGTATTATAGGCTGTTATTTTTAATAAAAACACGTGCCAAAAAAATATGTTGTTTTGGAGACGCTGGACATTTTAATGGCATTTTCATTCATTTCGGTGGGGAAAGATGATTTGAGATACAAATGTGAGTCTCGAGTGGTGTGAATTAGACACTGATGTCAAAACACCACAGTAGATGTTATTCATATGTGATGTGATATCAAATTACTAAACAAAGCAGACATTAAAGTGTAGCATTTAGTTTTTTCACCGTGTTGTGCTGAGCAGTGTGACACAATCGCACGTATCATTTTCCTACGTTGCAGTAGGCTCCAAAATTGGACTTTCAGACATTGTAATCTAGAGGTCCCACTGTGTTTCGGTTCGGTTTGTGACCGATGACAAACAGAAGCGACAATGACAATCCATAAAAGGCAACATGTGATAACATCTGTCAGATGTTCACAGGACACGATGACCGAGAGGGTTATTTAAATTTTGATAGCAATCTTAAAAAAAAAAAAAAAAAAGGGCGACTGAAAAGTCATTTTGCTGCCACGGTAACAAAATTACTGTGCACAAATGGGACTCGTGAGTCCATCATCTGGGGCTCATGATGTGGATTATTGGATGGCAGAGTTGATGTTTTCATCTGTGATGTCGCAGCTTGTGCATGTCTCGTGTGCCGTGGCACAGGATTGAATGACAAGACAGGATGAAGGCTTTACGGTTAATGCATGTCGGATTACGCAGACTGTGAATGGCTGTGGATTATTACATCACAGGCTCATGTTGACATGCAAGTGAGTCAGGAATAAAGATGTTGAGATGAAATAAATGAACAATGCCATTAAAACCGAGGTACAAATTGCGCATCAATAAAGCAAAAAGCGGCTTGGAGTGATGAATTTTAACTTTTAGGATGGATCTGATGATGAGAATGAAGTGTTGCTAATGCATCATTTCCAGTACCCAAAAATGGATCTTTAGGACTTTGGGGGTGTGGTCTGTGAACAAGCAAGCAGCATCAGAAAGGCTTGTGATGTGGATGTAGCGTGCACATGACGGGCGCTCATCCAAAATGTCGTGTTTCCGTCCTCCATTAGTTTGCAACGTGGGAGCAACTCCCATTTTGAGGGGTGGGTGAGCGAGGCCGAGAAGGGATGTCTACCAGGCTTGAGGGGATTAGGGGATTTACAGGGGGTGGGAGAGAAGCTTCACTCAAGTTAAGCTTGCGGAAAAGAGAAATTAAATTTGCAATTTGCACGATTGGGGAATTTTTGCGAGAGCCATGAAATGCAGCGTGAGTGGCGGTTTCTTCATGATGACACGCTTGAGTCATTCATAAAGGACAGAGGTGACTTTTTGAAATGTTATTTATGGATCACAAGCAGAAAAAGGAACCTTTACTACTCTTGATCACAATCGATCACTTTCTTTTGCTGACAGTGTCAATATCAATCCATCCATCCATCTTCTGATCCGCTTATCCTCACAAGGGTCGCGTGGCGTTTAGATTGTTAGTCTAGTTTTTATGGTTAGATATATCTTCCACATTGTCAACCATGTTTAGATTCTTTGTTCATGTTTTCTGTTTTGTTTTTTTTCAATTGCAGGACTTCGGCCAAAACAAAGAAGAAACACATCTGTCAATTTTCAGCATCTCCCTCATAGCGCCATCTTCTTTCCAAAAGCTTTTTAAAGACTCACTTCTCGGACCAGTCTCCGGCGACCCCCACCCCCACCCCGAGTCCCCCTCCCAACCTTCGGCCTCCCTGATGCCTAAAAACAGTAAGGTGACGCAGCGCGAGCAAAGCCATGAGCACGTCACAGAGTCGGTGGCTGACTTGCTCGCCCACGAGGAGCCGCTGGACTACAAGAACAGCTCGCTGAACGTCGGCGGCGCGGCCGGAAAGAAAGTGCCCCAGATAGAGGTGCCGGAAAATGACGGACGCCCTGCCTGGAACAGCAAGCTGCAGTACATCCTGGCGCAGGTGGGCTTCTCTGTAGGCCTGGGGAACGTGTGGCGCTTCCCCTACCTGTGCCAAAAGAATGGAGGAGGTGAGTCGGATCGGGTATTGAGAGACAAAGTAGCTGAAAACAAAATTGAAAAAAAAAATGTATGGGGACCCTGGAGTGATTGCCATTTTTTCCCCATAAGACATACAGTACAGTAATCCTCCATCTGTCCTTTTGAGTCCATCTGTTTTGGATTTTGACAAGATTGAGCGCACAGTGAGTGACAAGCCTGGCAGGTCCAAGTGGACAAAAATAATACCTGTACCTGCACCTCACATGCATATTTTGTATCGGTATTATGGATAAATCTTGAAAATATACATAAATAATACTATAAAGCTCATTTAAAAGAACCCCCCGCTTATGTATGATATTAATTGACAGAGAGGAAAGCAAAGGCCATTTTCGCCAATTCTAGTTAGTTTCAGCCAATTTTACAATAAAATGGCGATTTTTTTTTTTAAGCAATTTAAAAAAATCATATTCATTGTTTCTTCAATTTCAGTGGTTTCATCAGTTTTCGTGGACTTTCATAACCTTGGTTCACAGTCAACCTGCAGCCAATGCAGCTAATGTCCCTTGCAAACAGGTTTTATTGACACCCTCGACAAAGCGTCATTTGTCAGCCTGGAGTCGGCCACACATTTCTCCACAAATCACACTCTGTGCGATTTTCTCACTTGATCCGTGAATGGGATTAGGATTTATTTGAGCCGAGCCGTCTCCTTTCACCCACACTTCTTTCTATTTGTTCTTTCACACACATCCCTCGACTCACCATCCATCTGTCCATTCATTTCCTCTCCCTTCCCTCCGTCCTTCCACCTCTCTTCCATCATCTACTCTTTGACCCGCTCTCCAATCTACATAGATTTTCATTTCATCGCAGCTCATCTTTTAACCTACTCGACACTCATCTCTTTCCCCTCCCCGCTCCATCCACCCTACATCACTCCAGTTCCGAAGGCCTCGTCTATCCTTTCACCTCCTCTCGGTTCGCTCTTTCATCCATCTGGCCTTTTTCACATCTGCTGTTCCTTCCACTTTGTCTCCCCGCTGTCCAAGTTGTCTCAGCCTTGCGCTGCTGTCTTCTGTTTTAATTTCTTCCCACTCCATTCCCCCTTTCTTCTCATCCATTCTTTCACACCTCTTCTCCAGTCAGCCTTTCACCGCCTTTTTACGCTCATCTCCATCCTTCTATTAAATTTATATCTGTCCTTCCCTTTCCTTCTTCTCTTCCTTTCACTTCCTATGCTATCAATTCACTTCCTCAGTATTTAGCTTTTCATCTCCTTTTAGCTCAATTCACCTCCTCTCCTATCCAGTCACTAATTCGCTTCCTTTTGCTTCCTCTCTTTTGCATTCATCCTTTCATCTCACTTCCATCCATCCACTTCATGTGAGTATAGAGTTGCTATTTTTGAAGGAGTTCACGCTTGGTGGCTGGCGATAAGTCGTTATGTTCCGGATGTTGACTCAATTTTGCCCATTCCTTATTATATGTCAGAGAAGTGCTCAGAGACACGTTTGGATGCCGGATTGAAACACTAATTGAGGAGGGGAATGTATTTTGCTTTAGAAAGTCGCTGTTTTTTCTCCTGTTGTGCTGTCATGCAGTTAAAAGATCTTCTGTAAATTACCTTTATTACCCCGTGTATCTTATTCCCTGTCAAAAAAAAAAAGTCAAAACGCTTCTCTGTTTTTCAGGCGCTTATCTCGTCCCATACTTCATTCTCCTGCTTGTCATCGGCATCCCGCTCTTCTTCCTGGAGCTGGCGGTGGGCCAGAAGATCCGACGTGGGAGTATTGGGGTGTGGAATTACGTGTGCCCACGTCTTGGCGGGATCGGAATGTCGAGTTTGATGGTACTACGCTTACGCCCATCCATTATTTTCCATACGTTTTTTTCTTTGTAGGGGATGCAGGAAAATTTAGAGCACTAGTGTCAAACTCATCCGGCCTGGTTGTAATTGTATACAGGTAATATTATGACTAGAGGTACAGGTGACCCTACTTTAAAGTTTTATGGTGACACGACCCATTATTCTGACAATTTCTTTTGCTATGACATGTGAAGGAGAACTTGAGAGAGTGATGAGTGCCGTATGGTGGCAGTGAACTCAAGGCAACTCACTTCACAATAACTCCAGTTTGACAAATTGTGGAGTTGTTATAATAACAGCCTTGAGCTGTTTTAAGCCCCTCCGAGTGAAAGTCTACTGTCAAAATAAAAACATAAAACAAAGTGAATTGCACTTTGTATGTTTAACAAAACCACTGCTTTGCCGTCGAAAATTTCCTTAAGAGCAATGCTAACAAACAAGGTAAAACCATTATTGATTATAGTTGCAGTTCCAGAGGTGACGGCTATTTACAAACAGTGAAGGAACATCTTAGTGAGAAAATATAACAATACGTAAAGCCATACAGTTCCGTATATATTTGATGTGCTACCGAAAATGACTAATATTACAGCACTACTACAGTACTATTCTTCTTCGCTGGTATCTGAATGACAATATCATACTGCCTCCAGGTGGCCAAGGTGGGCACAGCAATAGAAGCAGCACAATGAATTGGTTTGAAGAATTAAATCATGATGTACAAACTGTTAATTTTTTACCTTCTATTTGATGATGTTTTTACTCCGTTTTTATTAACTACAATATTATACTGTGCTATTTTTTCATTAAAAAACACAAACACAAAAGTAGTTTGGGGGGTGAGGATGGAACACATTAAAGGCAATGTATTCAACACGATGGGCGAAAATGAGATTGAGGTAAGCGTTTTGGGTTATGAGCGTGGTCACGGTAGGAATTAAAATTGTATCTCAAGGCACCATTGTTTTATCGTCAAAAAGGCTTCACAAGCATAAAAAGGATGCAGCACCATGCACGCAGGATGAAGTCTCTCCATCACCCCATCAGCCTGTCTCCACCTCCTGAGTACATGGGAGGTATTGACATGTTTGGCAATGAAAGGGACCTTTCAGTCGAGTCGCATGGCTGGCGCAGAGGTAGCTAAAAATATCTCTGAGAGTATCTGAGTTGAAAAGAGAGCACTTTAATTATTCACGCCTCCCTCCAACCGGATGTAGCCTCGGAATTTCTTGCACGACTGGCGGCAACATGAGGCTCATCGTGCGTGCATCAGTGCAGATCAATGCCTTTCATAGGCCGTGCATGCACAAATGCTGGCAGATCATGATTATCATGTAGGTGCAAGGTTGTTGAGGATACACCTGGCAGAATGACTAGTTGGAGGCAGAAACTTGGTCTGAAGTTATGCCAGCTTGGAACATGTCTAAATAGTGCTCTCACGCGGTTTTGGTGAATTTCATCAGAGTACACCCAGACAGAATTCTGAGCCCTTGTGGTCATGTGCATTGAAGTCTTTGTATTTCATTCATAATAATCACAACAGCAGGATTCAAACCCTCTGAGCCTTTGTAATCGACTGGCCAATGTCAGCGCTTTTAAAAAAAATGTGGACATTTTTTTTTTTAAATTTCAATTCATTAACACATTACAATGACATTCAACAGCACCCCCACCCAAAAAAAAAATCTATCAATTTTTGCCTATTTTTCACTCTACTGTAAAGTTAAACAAATAATAAAGGACCAAGTATTATAGAACAAAAAAAAACCATATCATTCAGGTATTAATTATGATATTATGATTATTATGATGGTGATTATTATTACAATTATTATTATTGTTTTAAAATCATCCAACTGGCTAGCGCGCAGCTATTGAGGGGGCTTTGATTGGTGACAAATGGAGTTGGCTGTGTTCACGCCTACAAGAGTGCAAACCTTTTTTTTTTTCTAAATAAACATGTCTGCAAAGTTACTAACATCGGTTTAGCGAGCCTCCGGACAGATTTATGTCGCAAGCCACACCGGTGTGTGCCAGTCACAGCAGAAGATTAAGTTCATAATACCTATCTTTCTGTCCATCTAGGTGTGCGGCTTTGTGGGGCTCTACTATAATGTGATCATCGGCTGGAGCATCTTCTACTTCTTCCAGTCCTTCCAGTATCCTCTGCCATGGAGCGACTGTCCCATCAGGAAGAATGGGACGTTTGCCAGTGAGTTACTGTCAACTATATCCACGTATCCAATTTCTTAACAACATGCAAACGGCACACACTCCTGCATTCAACAACACAGGTTGTACCTAATGTTGCGGCCAGTGGGAACCTGTCTGTGTCGCCAAGTATTTTTTTGCATCCCACGTTGTCCCTCTCACAATGCAGTCGTGGAGCCGGAGTGCGAGAAGAGCTCAGCCACCACTTACTTCTGGTACCGCCAGACCCTGAACACGACCAGCACCATCGCAGAGAGCGGCGGCCTCAATGTGAAAATGACTTTATCTCTGCTGGCCGCCTGGATCATCGTCTGCCTCGCCGTCATCAAAGGGATCGCCTCTTCTGGGAAGGTTGGACAAAACAGGAGCGTGAGCGACATTGTTATGTTGCGACATACTGGATGTGTTTTATATGTCTCACAGGTGATGTACTTCAGCTCACTTTTCCCCTACGTGGTGCTCTTTTGCTTCCTGGTCAGAGGGTTGATGCTGAAGGGATCCGTGGATGGCATCGCTCACATGTTCACTCCAAAGGTGAGCTGCGGGAACTCGTTCAAATGTTCATACACACACACACGCACGCATGCACGCACGCAAGCACGCACACACACACACACACACACACACACACACACACACACACACACACACACACACACAGAAAAAAAACTCACATTCAACAAAATTATATTCATATACACCCCCCCAAAAACATTACTCCATAATATATTTAAATTTATGAGATTTTATCAATTTATATGAGTTCATAGTCATTATGGCCCTCCGAGGAAAACCACAACTACGATGTGGCCCGTGACAAAAATGAGTTTGACGTCCTTGCTGTAATTCCTTTGTCTTTTGCCATTTCAAATTAACAAATGCTAAATGTCATTGTTGCGTCTCCCAGCTGGAGAAGATGCTGGAGCCCCAGGTGTGGAGAGAGGCGGCCACCCAAGTGTTCTTTGCTTTGGGTCTGGGCTTTGGAGGTGTCATTGCCTTCTCCAGTTACAACAAGATAGACAACAACTGCCACTTTGACGCCGTGCTCGTCTCCTTCATCAACTTCCTCACGTCCATCCTGGCTACGCTGGTGGTGTTTGCCGTCCTGGGTTTCAAGGCCAACATCATGAACGAGAAGTGTGTCGTAGAGTACGTTCTCGAGCTTTTTCTTTCTCCTCCAGAAAGTCATACGTGCGGTCACTCATACAGGCCACAGCATTGGGAACACCTGAACAATCGGTACAAAAAGAAAAATCCTGTAACTGGCAGTATTATATATTACAAGTGACTGTTTTTGTGCTATTATGGCTTTTATTTAGCCCCCGGGTTCTGTACTGTCACTTGTTCTGAAGTGAGTTGATTATATAGTCCAGTTACAAATTTAAGGATAAACTCTGAAAGGAAGGCGGCTGCCGTTTTGGAATGTGGAAATGTGCCTTATTTTGAGCACACGGCTCCCATGGCGATCAAATTTTGATGTATCTTTTCAAATGTGTACCATTTTTGTCTATATAGCAATGCTGAGAAGATTGTCGGATACCTCAACTCAAATGTGCTGAGTCATGATCTGATCCCCCCGCACGTCAACTTTTCTCACCTCACCACCTCTGACTACGCCGAGATGTATCAGGTCATCAAGACTGTGAAAGAGGGCAGTTTCTCCCACCTGGGTCTGGATCCTTGCATCCTGGAAGACGAGCTCAACAAAGTGAGCCAGAACTGGTCCGGATGTGCGTCCGCAGCAGGTTCTGACTTTGACTCATTCTCTTGACCATCTTTGTGCAGGCTGTTCAGGGCACCGGTTTGGCTTTCATCGCTTTCACGGAGGCCATGACACATTTCCCTGCTTCGCCATTCTGGTCGGTCATGTTCTTCTTCATGCTCATCAACCTCGGACTGGGTAGCATGATCGGCACTATGACGGGCATCACCACGCCTGTCCTTGATACCTACAAGGTCCAAAAGGAGCTTTTTACAGGTGAAAAAGTCATACAGTGTTGCCTTAAGATACAAGGGGCCTGACTTTGACTTTTTGGAGACATGAGCCATTATTCGGACGATTTTTTTTGGGTGTGACTTGCAAGAAAAAAATTCAGACATGAGTGCTGTATGGTGGCAGAGTTTTCAAGCTATTGAAGTTTAATGTCAAAGTCATTTCAAAACAAAGTAAATTAGACATTCCACATTTTAAGCAACCACAATTTTGTCTTCATGTTTGCTAGCTTAATGCTAACAGATTTCATGTTCGCTAGCTTAATGCTAACAAATAGCATTGGTGGTGTGGCATTTTTAACTTTTAAACAAATAACATTTGAACAAACACTGGGGGGAAAAAAAATGAAGTCATAAAATATAACATTACTCACAGGCATGTACCAACTTATTTTTATTCCCCACTTCTCCAGTGTGTTGCTGCATTGTGGCCTTCCTGTGCGGTCTGCTGTTTGTTCAGCGCTCAGGGAATTACTTTGTCACCATGTTCGACGACTATTCTGCCGGCCTGCCTCTGACTGTGGTGGTCATCCTGGAAAATATGTCGGTGGCTTGGATTTATGGCACTAAAAGGTACAACAACTGCAGATGATTGTAGGTAGGTGAGTGGGGGATTGTTAACAAAGGCAGGATCCTGCATATACCGTTTAATGTTTCTGCTCCTCTGTTGCCGACAGATTCATGCAGGATTTGGAAGACATGTTGGGTTTCCGGCCGAACATCATATACTTCTACTTGTGGAAATACGTCTCCCCGATCTGCCTAATTGTGCTCATCTCGGCCTCTGTCATAGAGATGGCTTTCAGCCCACCTGGATACAACGCGTGGGTTGAAGAACTGGTCAGCCATGTCTTTATCTACCCATGGTTTTACATTCAACACCACTTTAGTTACAGCACTACAAAAAGCTATTAGATTAGTTACATGCATTTATATACAGGGTTTTAACCGACACACAACCACAGCCACACCCAAACACACACATTTATAAATGGGACGTGCCCGTGTTCAAAATTAACCAATCACTGGGTAGGTAGTCAGGCAGCTCTTGATCAACTCTTCTCAGTTTTTATGAGAATGGATACTGTACATTAAAATTGTAATCCTTCGACTAAGTCTGACAATAACTCACCCCTGTGTCTGCGTAGGCTCAGGAGCGCTTCCAGAGCTACCCCCCGTGGGCATTAGTCATGTGCTTTGCTCTCATCGTGGTAGCCATGCTTCCCCTCCCCATCGTCTTCATCGCCCGTCACTTCAACCTGATGTCGGACGGGTCCAACAAGCTGTCCGTCTCCTACCGGAAGAGCATGATGAAAGACATCTCCAACCTGGAGGAGCAGGACGAATCCAGGTTCATCCTTGGCGCCAAACCCGGCGAAGCGCCTGCATCACTGGCGGCACGCAAAGCCTATCTGGCTCCCGGTGGAAACAAACCCCTGGACCCCAACTCCTTGTCTCCTAAAAGCTGCTATGGTACGGGCTACCAAAATGCCGCCATCAGCCCTACCACACCGACCACTCCTACTACACCCGAGTCTGACTTTTGACTGTATCGCCCATTAGTCCGGTTTACCATCAGGGGCGCAAGAATCCCCACCACTGCCCTCCCAAAAGCACATTTTCATAGCTGCAAAATCACTGAATTCATGCACTTATGATGTTATTTCCTTTGCCTTAGTACAAGGAACCTTGGACTTTACTGAGGCACCACTTACTAGTACAGAGGCAAAGAGCCCCCAGGCAAAGGCTGTCTTGAATTTGTGCTGCAACACAGACACATTGATCAATGCAGTGATGTCAGTGAGCGTGTATGTGGTCGCACCTCTGAATCTACAAAAATTGTATATATTTGTAAAGCTCTCATCGTGTATCCTAAACTACTCCGTGCTTACTAACTGTACTTCCTCAAATAGTGGCCGACCAGTGTTTGTAGCCAAAGCACATTTTCCTTTAGAAAAATCTCAAGTAAGACCACCCCCCAAAAAAAAAGTACACTTTGTGAAGTATAGATGATCTTACATCAGTTTACAAACAAATTCACAGAGTGTGAAATTTGGTCCTGTTTTTAAAATTTACAAGCGTATTAAGATATGTGAACCTTCTGCCATCTCATGGAGGAGCGTACTGTTGTACTGCCTGTCAGATGATGCTGGAAAAGATAAATGGAAAAAAAGACTTTATTTGTAATCAATAAAATCGGATCATTAACCACACTACAGCACACGGCATTTAACTACTCAACTGCGGAGGGTTTCAAGCAGTTACAGGAAAGTTTACAATGGCACCAAAAACATTTGGAGGTTACGAAGGACACACAATAAAATAATTTGGCAGCAGATTAAGAAGATGTCATCACATGGCACAAGAAGGTACTGGTAGTAGGGATAAGCTGTTTATAAGGGAGGATAAATTCATGTAATTTATTTGATGATTGGCATGCTTACATTGAAATGGATTGATTGTCTGTTAAAGTAGAGGCCATTATTTGACGAACTACAGTATTTCATATCACTCTCCTGTGTCCAGTCTAATGTTCAAAGCGGAGGTAGGGACCTACTTCAGGATAATGTACGCTAATGTAGTTTGCGTTATCATCCCATCCACTAAACTGCATCATCGTAAGAATTCATTAATTCCATTTTACACACCAAAGAATTACAAGCACACAGCAAAACACTTGAAATGTGAATGTTTAAAGTGCGCTACAAAAGCACTCAAGATTTTCCAGTTAACTGCACGAAAATGCACAGATGAGGCTCTCAAAGCACCGATTTTTGCTTTCTAATTCAACTATGAGGCACAATAAATTATTGAGCGTAATCGCTGACCTGTGGTTGCAGCACTGTGTATACAAAACACGCACAATCAATGCTCGGTGCAGACACACCAAGGCAGTTCCCGCAACACAAATTATACCCAATGTCAACTAAAACCTATTCAATGCACAACAAATATCAACACTTCAAGCGACAACTCCAATCTGTTGCAAACGTATTACATTTGTCACAAAATAGCACAAACATGTCAAGCTTGAATGGCAAAGATGGCTGTTTGATTTCTGTACACACTGCTTGTGCATCGTTGATGATTGTAAACAACCACATTTAAGCTTCTGTTACAGATATTTTTATTTTCTTAACTCATATTTAATCAAAGCTGTGCTATTATTGAAAGGATTATATTTATATTACTGTATATTTGTGGCATATATAGATGTGATCAATTAATATCGTAGGCGATATATATTTTCATCTTAATTGTACATTTAAAAACTATTTTGTATTTTGTGTCGATGTTGTTGGCTGGTGGAAGTGATGTCCGTCGCGCTCAGACCTAACTTGACCTTTTCCGTCGAGAGAAAAATCCAAGAAAGGCAAAGATTGTATTTACTTGTGCCATCCATTGTTTATGTTCCATTGTGTGGTTACAGTGAAGATAGTCTCACGGGGCACATTTGTGTGGCGAAAATAAAATTATTTTACATCTTATTTTACTCTACGCTTTGCAAGTGTGGAAAAGACAGATCGCAAACATTCTTGCAATAATGTGAATACTGACATGTAAACATTTTTTCAGAATGGGAGACATATCATATCACCGTCTATCGCATATCATAAAAGTGTGGCATCGTAGAATGTTAGGAATACACAAGGAGATCCAAACTGTTACTGTACTATGTTTTATGTTGTCTTTATAGAGGTCTGTGCACATGTAATAACAAAACTGCAGAATAAATGTGGCTAAGGGGAAATTGATACATACAGCTAAATTGATATCCTTGACTTACATATGCTCCAGTTTGTGTGTGTGTGTGTGTGCGCGCGCAGCAGGGTCTTTCTGAGCACATCTCCTTCCATTCCCCTCAGTGATGATGATTGTATTATGAACACAACTGTACAAAGAAAGTTTGTTTTCTGTAAAAAATACAAATAAATATTAGAATAGATTGTTGAAGGACCACTTAATGTTATGTTGCTTTATTTTTGTACAAAAGTACATTTCAGCGTCCTTACTACCCAAGCGCGATATCCAGGTCTTTTTCTTTATAAATGAGAGCAATCTCTACCTGGTCAGCAAGAGAGAAACTTCTTGCTTTCTTCAATTTGTGAGGACACAGCCACACCTCCTTTGACATTTTTGGACAGGACCAGGTATTCGTGGGCTGGGATGATGTCCAGGGTGAGCTCATATTGATCTGTCAAAAGAAATGCCAATGTCACTTTAAAAAAAAAAGGCGAGCCTCTATGCTTCTTCCTCGACCTCGGTACCTCCAGAAGCAGTTGGTCAGCTGATCCGAGGCACTGGGCAGGACTTTAGGTATGGAGTGGCTCAGATACTGGGTGTAAGGTGCAGCAAGATCATTTAGACATCCAAGAACAGATAAAACAATTTTAAAAATAATTCTGCAAAGCACAGGTGAGTGGAAAGAGGTCAGAATCAGAGCTACAACAAGTGCTCCCTCTTACATGCTCCAGTAAAGAGGTATGCAGCGGCAGCAAATATCAACTCAATGTTTAACTCTTGACACGACAATCCACGTCATTCTGGGACAATGTTGAAATTATAACTATGTGTTGAACGAGTGAGTGACTACAGCCACCAGCGGGGATGTTTTCATTGCTGTATAATACCGTGACCATTGCTGAGCAATGACCGGTGATGTCAATCACACAATAATATATAAAAACACTATCAATGAATAAATGTGACTAAAATGATGATTAATTGCAGTAATGAAATCACACGGGTTGTTGAAATCTCAACCATGCTTTGTTATGGTCGCAGAAAGTGAACGTGCCCATGCAACAGGATACTGGAATGCTACAATACAATCTAAGAGTAAAATTGGTACTGTTCACGGAATTGCATTTCATTTGTACTGCAATTCAAGACTGCCCCCTGGTGGCTGTGAGAAGAACAGAGGATGACAACGAGCACTCACAATTCAAGAGACGCTTGAGGTTGGGGTGGGATGGAGGGTGATTGCTCAGCCAATGTATGGACCGCTGTTTGCAAACGCTGAAGATCTCCTGCAGTCTTGTGACCAGAGACAGGGGTGCTCACTTGCATTTCCTTGATTGCAAAACAGATTCATGCCATGCGGCTTCCTGATTTACATGAGCCATGGTTGTGACTCAGAAAACAACAGTTTAGCGTGATACATCACAACAACAAACATAGTATCAGAGTACAGTTAAGTATAGCACAACTTTACTAACACAGCAGGTTTTTACATTAACTTTCTTTTGCCAATGGTCTCTCAATGAATATGTTTAAACATTTGATTTTATTACCCAGGACAGGACATATTCCTATAAATTGACAACACATTCTGTCATTTGACAGTTGTTTATATATTTTGACTCCATTCGTTTTATAAAGTAAATGCAAAACAAAAAAATATATTATGTAAATATTTGTTGGTTTATTAATAGTAAGAAAATTCTGCAAGTTTGACAGTAGGATTTCAGAATATTGAGGTCTATGTGAAATAAAATAGAACCATGATGTTCTATTTTTCCATTTCTAATAAAATAACAAAATCAGATCGCAAGTAGATACAAGAGAAAAATTGTAGACCCGGAGATTTTTTTAAATATATCTTTTGTTTCTTTAAGTGATGCAACTAACCTAAAACTAATAAAAAGCATATTCTACTGTATATAGCCATTAAATGAAAATGAAAAGACATTTTTCTGCAAAACAAAGCATATTTCAACAGAGGCTGCATTGTTACATCCTTTAGGTATATGACTGCCGCTTTGTCCCAGGGGCAAAAGGTGGTATGCAAGAACTGAAACAAACAAATAAAAAGAAAATGATTTGTAAACATAAATCTGCCACTTAAGGCAATAACTGAAATATATTTTATTTGCGTAAATGAACATGCTACAAAAAAAAAATCCCTTTATCAGTCTAATTTAAATAAAGGCTCCAATGATGAACACAGAATGTTAAATTCATTAAAATGTTGTAAAACATCTAAAAACAACCTGCACTCCCGGCCTGAGTTGTACAGTTAAAATTTGTATTTATTAGTACCCATAAATGTATTTTAAAATGCGTAGCGATGTAGTGCGATATGTTCACAGGGGAGACTAGTGACTGTAAAGGTAAAGGTCAACAAACAGCTGCTTTTGTACACTTGCATCAGAGTGGTGGCATCTCACAGAACCTAAATACAAAATCAATTATTATTCAATAAACACGATATAACATAATACTAACTCCTCAAGGCATCAGATTAAATAATTTGTTGCCGACTACAGATGACTGACAGACATCCAATTGCCATCTTCACTCAGTTGGGAATATGTGACCAAATTCATTCATCACAGTTGTTCAATGAGTGCTTGGTGCTGAGTTACCTGAACGCCACACTCAAAAAGAGTCTGATCCTCGATAAAAGATCAAGGATGTTGACCATTTCTCACTGCAGCAGCTCCTCCCATGAAATGGGTTTGGAGAAGACCTCTCGTTCCAGCCAGAGGTCGTAGTTCATTTGGAAGTCTTCGGGCAGGTCAACCCGCTGCCCCAGGACGCTTTGCAGGCAGTTGTCCACCGGGAGGAAGTCCGGGTTGCTCTGATTCTTGTCATAGCGGCGACTGTTAAAGCGTTCGATGTTGGCACGCAGGGCACACTCCTCGGCCTGAAAATCCCAGGGACGGGCATCCAGATCTGCCCACAATGCACCAATAGTAGATTATGACCACAGTTGCTACAACTGAAAGTATCACTGGTCAAATAACTTTTGAATCACACCATAAAGTGTATCCAGAGAATAAGCAGCGCACTTCAATTTTTCCAAAATTCTTTTGTGCGCGTGTGTGTGTATTTTCCACACAACACCCAATGATTGAAATATGCTTGCAAATGTATTAAAAAAATATATCATATGTAGGCAAGTATTCACAGCTTATGCACAATACTTTGTTGAAGCATTTTGGGAGGAATTACATTAAAATTGAACAGTTGTACATACTGCACTTTTCAGATGCACTCTACATGAAACAGTGTGTAATTCGCCAATTACAAGAAAAAAGTGGGATACGTGACGGTGAGTGTACTGACAGCACTTGCAAGCAAAAAAACATGGAAAAAAAGATTTTAGAGGCCTCTCGTCATTTTACCGTTTCCGTAAGCCCAGTCGTCATTGAGCCGATGTCGGACCTTCTGGTAAATGGCCGACATCGTCTTCATGTTGCTCTTCCGCCACTGACGCCCAAGATATTTGGTCTGCACTTTGAGAAGCTTGAGGACGTAAAGCTGCATCATGGCTTGTTTCACCTTTAGCGCCCTCTTCAGGATTGGAGCGGACTTGAACACTACCAGCATCTGGGTAACAGATTTTTTTTAGCATGTCTAACTTGCCATGATGGAATTATGCTGAGTTTGTTTTAGGCGTGTGATTTTTTTTCATGTACATTGTCTTGGTGTTAAGATGGCATCAAAATGATGTTGTTGCTGTCACAAGTGACAAGTGTTCATATAGCTAAACATCTCCAGCAAAGAGAAGCGCTACGGTCTATGCAACAAATATGCCTTCATTTCCTTGTAAGGTTCAAAAAGACAACAATCATGTTTCGAGAGGCTATAAGGAGGTAATATAATAATAAAGGCAGTGAGCGTGAAGGAGGGATCATGTGACTTGAAGATTCTCCGTCTCCTCACCATCGTTCTGGAGTGCTTCCACTTGGTCAGTTTATTGAGGATTCTCAGCAGGTTAATGCAGGAAAACAGGTTTCGCCAGCAAAACTGGTTGTTGTCTCCCGCTTCCTATAAGAATATGTCATCAGTACTTAATGTTGGTGGGGGGGGGGACAGCATTTTGCTCGACTAAACACAGGCAAATAAAGGCATGACATGGGAACACTTGCCAAACTCTCTGCTGTTAATTCAGGAAGCTCGTGCACCACGCAGTATGGAAAATCCAGCACTGAGATGCTGCAAAACGGGAACGACAAAAATGGGATTTTACATTCCATCATAATCTATGATATGCTTATGTTGTACAATGAAGTACCTGTTCTTAGCAGTGATGTAAGACATTATGTTCTGATTGAAGAACTTCAAAATGAGGGGGATGCAGTTGGCAAACACCAGGTGTTGAGCCATGTACTCAAACTGAGAAAACAAAAAAAAAAGTCCCAATATCTTTGGCAATATTTCGGTAATGACTCAAATTACACAGATGGCAGAACCACCTTTGGATTTGACACAGGGAACATTGAAGTGAGGTGTACCTGGTAGATGTGGTTAAGTTTGAAGTGTTTGAGGAGCAGCAGCAGGATGGCTGAGATGGCCTTCACGATGATCTCTTTGTGTCGATTGACGTCAACACCGAGTTTCATGCTCTGTAACACAGTGGTCCTGCAATAGGAACAATCGGTCTCCCATCAACATGTTTCAGCATCTTTGACTAATGACAATTTCTGTCTTCACACTGTTTTGTCACTTATCGATTCAACAACAGCTTTATTATTGTGGTTGTAGTTCACTGTGGTATGAAACATTCTCGTGCTTTCTTCTTTTGCCCCTACTTGCCTCAATGCAATCAAACTATTTCAAGCACTTCTGAGGAGGATATTCTGTCACTTCTAAAAACAAAAATAAGTGAAATAAGTGCTGCTAAAATTAGAAAGGTCTCCATATTCTGAACAGGAAGAGCAAGCAAAAAGATGCATCACTCACGGCATCTCTTCCGGCAGCACATCTGCCAGGATGTTGATTGAATCTGTTTTGGCTTTGGAGGTCGGAGCTGCCGCAAGAAGAATCTTTAACAGAGCAATCTGAATGCCAACAAGAGAAGAATTGATGTCAATTACGGATTGGTAACTTACTCCCTTAAGGTGCTAATTTATTAAGTGGAAGTCAGCATGTATTTATAATTCATCACTGTAATGTACGTATACTTTAAAAAAAAGGCCTACTTATGCCTGCTCAAATGCCATTTTTTTTGTCTCAGAAAATAAGAAGATAAATTATTTCATAATTTTCAGTAATATAATGAATAACCTGTCCAACTCAATTGAAAAAAAAAAAAAAATCATAACGATGACAACATTTTTGATGTCCGATGTGAGAGCACCGACCATGTACTGAGGTAATGTGGGTAGGATTCCCTGATAGAGCAGCTCAGTGGCACACATCTCCACTTCTTCTTCTCCCTGGCGAGGAAGCACATACACACAAACATGATGCTAGCGTGACACCACCAGATATTAAGATCAATATACTCTTGTCCAACAGTTCAAAAGCTTTTTTTTTCTAAAGTCACTCACCCCTGATAGAGGGGTTTTCTGAAACTCTTCCTCTCTTGCGATCTGAATCTCGGCTATCGAGACGTATTTATGCTGAAAGGAATATAATGTCAAGAACGTTGGAGACAAAAAAATAAATAAATCAAGAGTGTGGGGAGGGTTTTTGAAGAAGTGTATGAATTGATGCAATACCTGCTTTAGTGTCTTGATGCTCTCATGAATAGGCCTAGGTAGGCCAACAACCGTGTCTGTGTCACTGTGAGACACACAAGGAAAGGTAGTTGGTTTACCGCAATTATTTTGAGTACATTGCAAAAAAATCACATTGCTCTTACCATCCAAGTGTGTAACCTATAAATTTGCTTCTACTTGACTCCAGGAAATTTTCAATGTCCTTCTCCCTAATGAAAACAAAGAAACAAGCTATTGATGTGTGATCAGTGAAATCTTTGGAAACAACCCAAACCAGAAAGGAATACAAAGCACCTGACTTTGGGGGCCCACGGCAACCCTTTGGGGAAGGACACCCTCTCTGATGGAGGATGAGGAATAGGTGGAGGCATCACCTCGTCCCTTTCCAAGGGGAAAGTCTCGGCCTCGATTGAGTTGTCATTGTCGTCGTTGTCGTCCTCATCCTCTCGGGGATCATCGGTCTTGTAAGGGTCCTTTTCGTTGAATGCATCAAGATTGTCCTGTTTAATCAGTGCCTGTATGAAGAGAAAAGCGGGGAGGTCAATAAGAGCGAAACTGATGAGTCTGGACTACTTTTTCGCGGCACTGTACACTAATCCCAGCCACAAGAGGTACCTTGTGTTCACGCCGCGCCCGTTTTTGCTGCTGCTCTATGAGATCAGAGGCGGAGGCGGGAGGGGAAGCGGCCCTCATACTGCGTACAACCCGAATACTGTCTTCTGGCAGAGGGGGAAGACCCAGCTTCTCACGCTTATGGACCTTTATGGTTTGGAGCTGCTCGAACCCTCCAAGTGTGAACTGAATCATACAGGAAGGAATTCCATATTTCACTTGTAACTCTCCATGCGCCACATGAGAAATTTAGGGCTACCGTCATAAAATACAGATGGGCCCCATCCCTCACCAGTATGCTCTTCCACAACAGCAGCAACACTTTCTTCATAGGGAAGTGAGGCGCATGGCCACTGCAGAACTTGGTAACCATCCCGAAGAGCATGACTGCGATAGGCTCGTTGTTGTATAGAGGAGAGCCTAAGATAAAAAGGATTAACAACAATTTATCCATGGATTAAAAATATTCTATGATGCCGTTCTTCTGGATGTCATTCAACAGATGTACCTAATGTGATGGCTGGTGTGTCTATTTTATAGCATGTCATGGAAGGATATTGTTTCTTAAGAAACCCACCCAGTTCCGCTCGAAAGGTTTCCCTGATAACTCTCCATTCGGCCATGTCAGCTGGGTCGTCCTGCTGGATGGTTTCTACCATCAGGTACATGATGTTGAGCAGCACCCTGAGATCTGTGCTATCAGCGAGAGAGATGGCAGGTTTTCTGACAGCACTGCTACAGGCGGCACTGTTACTGAGGGGCAGAGAAATAGAACATTGGTGATGATCTATTATTGGAATAAGAATTAAAAGAGTCATAAGTCATAATGATTACATTTTTACAGTTGGCTGTGAAGTGCATCACATGACAGAAATTAGAGGAAAAAGTAAATAACCTACTCAATTTCCATGTTGAGCAGTTCCACCAGAGCAGAAAAAGTTCCAGCTTCCAGCAGCAGGAAGGTGTTGTATCTCATCCAATGCTGCACTTCGGCCTCAGAGCTACACTCGCCAAAGGTTCCTGCATTTTAACAATTTTGCTCCACATTAACACAACAAATATCATGTTTGATTTGGGCATTTTGGAAAGATAAACTGTCCATTGGAGCCATGAAAGACTGACCTTGCACCATGTACAGAATGGCTCTCGCAACCTTTAACCTTTTCTCGCGAGCAGTCACCTCCAGTCCATCCAGCATCCGCATGGCATGGGCCCTGTGATGAGGTGCATCAAGCTCTGTCCACTTCTTATCACACACTGAGTCACAGTGGGAAACAAAGATAATCGGAACATACATATATTAACATTATTCTTTAACTTTGATGGAATGAACTGCATGGAACAGAAATTTATCAGATATTTGATCACATACCATGTGTTCTGAATTCCTCCTCAAAACATTTTCTATTGAGGGAGAACTCTGGCCCTTCAGTATAACTGTACAGCTCTAGAACACACCATAAAACGTGCAAAACATTAGGACATGGCATCCTATAGGTCCACAGTGAAAAAAATAGTTTCTTACCTGACAGCTCTGCAGCCCATTTATCTGTATCAGCATATTCAAACTCAAGGTCTGGAGACTCAGACAAGCCCTAAATACAAAAAGAAACATTTCTGCCATTTAAATAATGAACATACCGATTGTAGCTAACTACTGGGGTGAGCAGTAGCTTATCTGTAAAGACTCGACAGGAAAACTTCAAACTAGTTGTTGACGACCAATATATTTCCTGGTTGAATTAAAATTGATATTTACAAATGTCTTCGTTATACTGTTGCAGAAATGTCAAATGATCGAATCCCCACAAACTGCATTCATTATTAATGTAAGAATTAAATAATCACCAAATGGTGATAAATCAGAAACAATTCTTGCATTGTTGCAGAAGACAAAGAAGACAAGAAGAACAAAATTGGTCGTTTGAAATGGGTGGAACCTAATATTACATTGAGAGCATGCGAACGTAAAAGCTGTTTTGACTGGAGCTTTTCCACAGGTGCACAGATTCGTGAAAGCTGAATCTCTCCATAGCTTATCTTTTCCCCAGCTAACACGAGCCTCTACCATAAGCTAAGATACAATACCGTCGAACATGACTTTTATTGTAAACGGCAGCACACTTAATTCAGCAGTGACAGTAGAGGACAATCGGAAAAAGTTTTCAGTAGGGTTTAAATGGTCGAAATGTCAATAATTATAGTGAAGCTATACTGACAGGGCTAACGATGCTTATACAGGAAAGAACTAGCCTCGTCCGTCTGTGGTCTTTTGTGAAAACTACTATAGACGTGATTAGATAAATCACTTGTATATGTGTGTACTTGCCTCTGAATCCTTTCTCTGGTTGCGTGTAAATTCCCCCCTACTCTTATTTGGCAGCATAGCTCTCTGTTTATTGTTTACAACTAGCGCACCGCCGTTTCCTCCGACCTCCATTTTTTTGCGGGGGCACGGCGTCTTCTCGCGAGACGAGACGGCATCGCGAGACTGAACGGAAAAACGAGTTACGTACGGTAGACTTTTTCATTGAAGGATTGGGGCTTCATCACAGGATTAGAGTTTCAAAACAGGGTTCAAAACCAGGGTTTGCATTTCAGGAGTCAAGGTTTAGCAAGGGTTCATCTGTCCACCTCGGATTTCTTTCTAGCCAGGGTTAGGATTTAGAGTTCAGATTCAGAAAACATTGTTTCCTATGAGATATCTAAAGTTCCAAATAGTGACTTCATGTCAGGGTTCGGGTTTGTAAGCACGGGTCAGAGTTTTAAATGTCACTTTTGAGGCCGGAGTTACTGTTCAATGTCTGGATTTGTGTGTCTGTTGCCTAGCAGCAACTGTAAAAGTGGTGGTGATTCTATTCTCCCTTTCTTCCATGCATCCTAGGAAACAAGGATATATTGCAACGTGTATTCTCACATCCATCGTTATTTCCTTCTTTTCCTTGTTCCTTTCCCTCCTTTTTTTGACGCCCCATGGCCCTCTTCTTTTCTTACTTCCTTAAATAAATCAGTTTAAAAAGTGTATGCCTTTGGACCACTCTTATTATTCACATCATTTATTGCTGATGTATATGACGTGGAACAAGAGGAATAATCTTCCAAATCTTTAGTTACTTCTTGTGAAATGATGAACAATGAGACATTTGCTAGATTACCAGCAGTTTATTAAAGGGAACGGTGCACATGGGATTTGCCACTGCATACAGTGTACTGTTGTGATTGCGATTCAAAACTAAATAGAGCACCTGTGCTCAAAACCTATGGTTGAAGCGAATAAATCATATCCATAACTGTCTCCACACAAATGACTGCAAAGTGTACAACTAGAAATCACGGTGGTGTGCATATATTACCCAGTTGAGAACCATCACTGCCCCCAAACACATTCATATGTCCTGTTATTGTTATTTAACATCACACAACTTAAAATATAGCTGTTATTATTCATTAAAGCAACATGAATGGACAACAGAAGGCATTTTAAGTGCTATAAGGAAAAAATCATGAAAAGTCCTGATCGCGATTACATGAAAAAAAAAGACACAAAAATTTAAGAGACACATACAAGGGCTGTACGATGGAGATCAAAATACAGTGTATTCAATTAAAATTACTGTAATGAATACATGAGTAACAGCTCTCCACTGCTGCACTATTAAATCACTTTTGACAGAAGAAATCTGCATAGCAGAACAACCATGTTGAGCATCAGCAATACTTGCGAAAACACACACATGTACCGCAGATACAAACTGTGCTAAGTGAGTCACAAGGCACTGTCAGCTGGGCAGTAACTGTGGTTACGGCACCCAGCTTCCTGACAATGACATCCGCATAGATAAGCTACCTTTGGTTGAAATGCTCTTGAAATTACAAGTCCAAATGTGACACAGTAGCTCACACAAAGCTACTTTTCAATAAAATCCTGTAGATTCAAAGAAAAACTTCAATTTCCTCATAACTTCAATGCAAGAATATGTTAAGGATCTGTTAAAAGGTTCTGAAATTGAAGGCCAAATAAGTAGATTTCAACATTTGGTACAGGAATGAGGTGGCAAAGCTCAAATACATGTTGGAATACATATAACAAGACTCTCATAACTAAATCATTCAACACGGTCTTTAAAGTTTAAAACACAAGAGCAAGTAGAGAAATAATAGTATAATAAGCAATTGCAAATTTCCCCAGTGTGGGACTAATAAAGGTTATCTTATAGGTGCAACAACAAGCCTCACAAATAGTAGCACGTTGAACTGAAAAATGTGAGCGGTGGAAAAAAAAAAGCAGAGGAGAACACAGTGTACAGCTCACGATAACATAAGATGACAAAGCTTGTCATAGTTTCAAATGTCTATTAAAAATACTGTGAGGAAACGGAGGAATAGAACATGTTACCTCAATCTAAAGACGAATCTAACACGTTATGTATGTGTGTTGTGTTTTGATAAATGCCACGGAGATGAGCCGATGGCAGCTGTGTATACAGTAAAAGTGCAGTTCTCTACTTTGCAGAGCATGCAGTGTGTGACTCACGTGTTATTGACACAATAGAATATACATCAGTATGGATTCACAGTGGACGACTTAATTTCATCAATTGTAGACATTTCTGAATCTGACTACCCTGGTGTGCATGCACCATCTTATCATTCGTCTTCCAAAACAAATCAATGTCTTCTCGGGTTATGAAGCCGAGATTTTGTTTACTCACATGTGGTGATAGTTCACAGAGACTTGACTATTGAGGGGCTAGAATATTTCCTCTCTAGCTTATTATTGGAATGTATTCAGTCAGCAGGGCCACCTAAGTAACCTAACTTGGGTTTTTTTCACCTGCGGGACGGTACCAAATGCCAATGCATTTCCGACAACATCTTAAATGTGATGGCTCATTCATAAGCACAAGCGCTACAAGAGACTAACAAGATTTAGCACACGCAGCAACAAGTTGAATTCTTGAAAAATGTTCACGAACCAAAACTTTAGTTTTGGTCCTATCTATGGCTCTTTATTCTTAAAATTAGGCAAAATTAGACATGCCAGTGAAGGTTGCCATCTGTCTCACTCATGGAGGTGATGACCAATGAAATGTATCAGTCAGGTCAAAAGTCTTTCCTTGCACAAAGAAAGACTTTTGAAACTTCACATCTCAGACAGTTATTGACTTAATTTCTTTTTGTCGCACAAACTGAAGAGGTACTTTTTTTTTTTAAATCTGCAACTCTTTCATTGCAGTTATATGCCACAGCAGTCTGAAACAGTACGATTAATGCAAAATATTACTGTATCTCTTTGATGCGGATCCACCATAATCTCTCAATACATTTGTGTATTAATATGGACTACCACAATCATTTCTGTGAAATAAAAGTAGATGAGACAAATATGAACATACACTAATATGTCTTCATGTGTAGACTATAAAATAGGAGATACACCAACAGGTCTTGTGTCTTGGCGGTCATCAACACGTGGCTGTGTTGAGGTGTAGCTTTTTGCAGGCTAATACCTGTGGTGGACGAAACGACAAATTCAGTTGCGGGGAAAAATACCCTGTTCGAAAAATGTCAGATTAGTATTCGTACATTTGAGCAACCGATATCAAGATGTGAAGCAATTTCCAAACACATTTCTTTTGCCTTTTAATGGTTTCGGCTAATGAACAATTACCTGTAGTAGTTGGGTTTGAAAGGACCGTTCTTATTCAGGCCCAAATATTTTGCCTGCTCATCGCTGAGCTCGGTCAGGTGGGCGTCAAAGGTGGCAAGATGTAGGCTGGCCACGTATTCGTCTGGAGGAGAGATTTTGAAAGATCGTCATAAAAATTCAAAGATGACTACATCTGCTCGCTAAAACTATCTTCCATCATTTCAGAAATAAACATGCACGGTGCAATAGATATAAAATGGTATTATTTAAAAGTACAAGCAGACCACTGCAAATAATTTTGGAAAATTGTGAAATATAAATCATCGTACAGTTCTACACGTACATATTGTAATCATCCTTACCCATTTTTTTAGGAAGCAGGTAAACGTCTTGCTTGTATCGTCCCTCTGGAGCATTGTACAACTCTATGAGGGCCAGGGCCTGAAAAAAGTAAAGTGTGATGTTTGTTAAATGTTACAAAAAAAACATTTGCTTCCTTCTTTTATGTTAGCGTCGATTACATTTGGTTTTAAATCAGTGAGCCCAGGGTGAAGTAACTGGCAAGTGGGAAAACAACCTTGGTGATGAAGGCTTGAGTGAATCACTTTTTTTTTTTTTTGGTCAAATATTTGCATACGCTTGAAACACTGCTGCTTGTTTGATGCTCGGATCGACCACCTGTTGCTTTCAGCAAGGCATCTGTGTTGTTAGTGCCAAAAAACATGAATTGCGATTACTCAACTTGCCGTGCTAACCCTTACTGCGGATTGGTAAAGTTGACAGTTCAACCCCTCGTGCATACACACTTTGCACTTGATTGTTGCTGTGTATCACATATAGGCTTTAAAGCAATGTTGTTACCTGAGTGGTGGCGGTGATGGACAGGACAAAAGTGGGAACAGTGGAGCAGCTGAGATTGAGGAGGCGTCCCTAAAAATGAAACAGTGTTTAAAATTTGTGTTTGCTACAAAGGGCGCGTACGTTCTAGTATAGTGAACCCTCGCTATAACGCGGTTCACCTTTCACGGCTTCGCTGTTTCACGGATTTTTTAGAGCAGGTTTTTATGCTTTTGTTTTTTTCTCAAACAGTGCATTGTGTTCTGCATTCTGAATTGCAAAGGGACTACATACCAAAGCCAACAGTCTCTGCGCCTCATCTCTGTACAGTACGGGTGCCCAACCATTTTTGACCGAAGATTTGTATTGTATTGTTTAAAAATTGTGAAAAATTCAAGCTGACTACTTCACGGATTTAATCTATTAGAGATTCTTTTTGGAACGCAACACCCGCGATAAACGAGGGTTCACTGAACACCGTGTATAAATAAGAGCAATCAATTGCATATGTCCACTCACTTCAGCCAGCAGAATGACTCTCTTGCCATCAGGCCAAATGACGTGATCGACCTGCGAACGCACCCGCTCCCATGTCAGCTCAGGGGTGCGAAGGCTTGCCTGGAGGAGTTCCCGTCACATGAACACATGCTTATTGAGTTGTGTCTGACATCTCAAATAAATATCGATTTAGAATGACCCTCTGAATACTCCGTTTTTAAAATAGGTAGTGTATTTACCACATCAATCTCAGTGTTGGAGTGCCCCATGTTGCACACAATGGAGCCGTTTTTCATGCGGTCCAGCTGGTCCCTGGTCACCACATTCTTATTTCCTGCGGAAAAGTCCACCGAGTGTGAGCGTGCACGGTCGATGCAGCTCAAAGCCTCAGTGAGAGCGGGTGTTGAGTGGAGTTACCAGTGCATGTGATGGTGATGTCAACATGGCGAATGACCTCATTCAGCTTGACTACTCTGAATCCATCCATACTGCTCACATGCAATAGAAAGACGGTGCGCCAGCACAATAACAAATGCACTTATGATTTAAGCAATACACATAGTTTGGGTAAGCTTGACTATATATTTTTTTTCTTTTCCATTAAGTTTTAACCTAGGTATAGTTTTATCTTGCTCACCAAGCTTGAAGGGCACAAATAGGATCGATCTCTGTAATGTAGACAATAGCCCCGAGAGCTTTCAGTGCAGCACAACAACCTTTTCCAACCTACAAAAGGACAAAGTCGTCAATTGTACACAGTACTATGAAGATACATTGGCATGGGGATATTAAACGATAACAAATGAAGTATCTCACCTCACCGTAGCCACATACAACCACCTGCTTGCCTCCAAACATGACATCTGTGGTTCTCTTCAAGCTTCAAGAGAAGAGAGGCAGATAATTTGCAGATTGTGTGGAGGTGGAAAACGGCCTGTCGGTGAATCTAAATCAGCTGAGTCAGCATTGCACTGAACAGTCAGTCTTGTTGCACTGAATCTACCACACAATAAATTTCAGTCCTCCACCAAGGAGGTAAAAGTTTTTTTTTTTTTTTAATTACCATTAAATTTTATTGTAATATAACTGCTTGTCTATTCTCTTAACAGTGTGGATTGTCACTAATCTCATGAAATGTTAAATTAACTGGATGACATTTTCATAATTATTTTGTGATATTGTTAAGCTTTTAAATAAAAATTAATCTAAATAACACAATTGCGTCAAACAAAAGCAGATGATACAAATGAAATCTGAGCTACATTAAGATTGTTCTGCTTTCGCAGAGGCCCGCACGCTGCTGAGAGCCATTTGAGTTGAATTTGTCGATGGAAAACTTGCTAAAGTCTATCTGGCCGATTATTAATCAGAGGGACGCAATAAATTGCGAGGGAGTTGGCACTAGGACAGTTGAAAGCATTCACCCATTACATACAGAGCTGTAGACACATTGTGCAAGAGTACTGATCACTGAACTATTCACAGGTGGCCTTGGTGAAAACAAATAGAGCTATTATACTTTGGATCGCGGGCACATCCTAAGCTTTCCAAGAAGCGTTCACTGATAGCACAGGGCATCAAATTGTTCTGTAGAGCTGCCAAACAAACATCGCGTACAATTGTTTGGACATGACAATCTCGATCGGCCCACAAGAACTGGTATATCAGACTCACTCACCCGTCCAAGATAGACTCTCTGCAGCAGTAAAGGTTGTCAAACTTCTGCTTGGTCACAGAATCATTTACGTTCATGGCTGGCACGCACAGCTTCCCCGCTTTGGAGAGCTGATACAGCCTAGAAGAGAAAGAGGAGACGCACTCTGTTGGCTTCACATTGGACAGTCCTGCTGTGTTTGAATAGTGCGGTTGTGTATTTATGTTAGCAACGGATAACCTGTGAACCCCAGTGACGCTCTCCTCAACTATGCCCCGGATCTTCTTGAATACATTTGGGTATTTCTTGTACATCCAGTGTGTCAGGTCCCCTCCATCATCTAGGATCTAGCAGGACACAACATTTGTTCCTCAATTGAACCATTTAAAGTTTCTGCTCTAGCCTCCAATGTTATTATAATACCATGTTAGGCTGCCATCCCTCAGTGTTGACACAGCGATCAATACACCACCAGAAATCGTCCTCAGACTCCCCTTTCCAGGCAAACACAGCCACACCTGAAATGTATCAAATGGGTGGTTTCCCATGTTGACAACCCACTGAATGTATTTAAAAATGTTCATTAACATAGCACTAGCCTAGCATTCTACATGACTGCATTTCTGAAACCGCCATTAATTAGGACAGCAATGGTCAGCAAAGGGTTTTTGCTGTGTACAGTATGTACTGTATCTGAAATTTCAGACAATCCACTTACTGTATTGAATGTTTTTTTTCTCACTTTTTGAAAAATACACAGTGCACTACAGCAGCAATTCCCCAAACAGCAGGCCCACCCCTATACTCGCTGAGTCACATGTCCTCAGCCTGGGTTGCTGTAGTAAGCCATTAACACACCACAGCACAAATGATCTATCGCGAAATAAATTACCGGTACATGCTTTGAACACCACATAGCAACCGCCTGACCTGATTGTGCTTAATGTTTTCATTAAGATCCCTGCTTCCCATCACAGGATCGTAAATTGAAACAAATCTTTTGTTAATTAAAAAAAAAAAAGAAGTCCACAAAAAACGCTTTCTATCCACAAAGTAGTAACGTGGGATACTGGCTTTTTTATTACATTATACAAGCCAGAGTATTTGTGGGCCCACAGCAGTGACCTTTAACGTGCTTAATTTACTCTTGTGTTTACCTATCTCTGACAGAGCAGCGGCCACTTCATTTTGTGTGGAGTAAATGTTGCAGGCAGTCCAGCGGCATTGGGCCCCAAGAGCCACCAGAGTCTCAATCAGTACCTGAAACCACAAACAAGAGTCGAGTGATCCAAGAAGATAATGACATTTACTGCTCTTATTTTAACACTGAAGCATACCGCAACCTGCACTCAATATCTGGTGCTGTCAACAAACACAATAATGGACTAACTAAGATTAAAATTGAGCAGAGTTCCTATTTTGATTAATGAGTGGGCTCAAACTGAAGCTCAAAGTAAGAGAAATATCTTACTGCAGTTTGTGCAGTGATGTGAGTGCAGCCCACAATTTTGGCACCTGCCAATGGTTTCTCACTCTGTGCTCTCTTCCTTAGAGCGATCAGTGCTGACATGTCTGTGAACAGAACGTTAAGAGAGATGAGTGGGAGAGAGTCGTAGGCAGATGCACAACAAAGGAGCGTGGTGGACGGCAATCACGGGGCTCAATCGCACTGAACCTTGCCAAAGACAGGGGCCTATTCTCATGTTGGAAAAGCAATGATGTATCGACATGTTGGAACATTTTGACCTGAGGTATGTGCTTCCAAGCCGCAAATATTTTCGCCTTGCCTCACCGGCAACAAATGGAGAAAAGAGCAGGAGAGCTAGAAATTCCCAAAACAAAGAGAGGGAGGAGTAATTGCATTATTTTTATACCTTGTCCCTATATATTGACATTGCAATTTTTTTTTTGTGGATGCCCAAGTTATGGCTCACGGGTCACCTGTGGATTCCCAAATCGCAGTTTGAGAACCAGTCGTCAATATCACTGCTGGACCCCACAACAATAAAAATATTGTGACATGATTACCTCTTGACAGTGTCGGTCACTGAGCATTGTCGTTTGAGCAAAGACAGATCAATGAATCCAGTAAGACTTTTAAATGTTGCCAACAAAAGACCAAATAGCCAGGATTTAATTAAATGACATGCTTATATGTGTCCCACGTGTCCTACCTTGTTCAGCAATCTCAATCTCACGTCTCCCAAACTCGGCTTGTTTAATGTTCTTGACGCAGAAGTCACTGCTGCCTTTGGAGTTGACCTGTGTTTTGTCTCGAGGTGAAGTTTCGTCGTCTGAGCTGTCTGTGTAGGATGCAGCTGGGAAGTACAACAAAGATTGAAAGAGAGGACAGATGCCGCTGAGTTGAAAGAAAACGCAGAGCTGCGAGTGAATATCCCACCAAAAGGACATTACTGTTTGGTTTGACAGTAAAAGTAGGTGAGGGGGAGGACTGGAACAGGATCTTACCTGAGCTGTAGCTGTCCGTGGATGACTGAGAGATGGAGCGGGAGAGGGAACGACGGCCTGCTTTGGTGGGGAACCGGCTGAACTCCTGCTTGTCCTCCACAAACTGAATTTGCTGGAAAGTCATACACAATACATCTCAATTCATATAGCACTTTTACAAACTGATACATGAAAATATTGAAATGGTATGTAAACAGCAATCTGATTGTTTCAAGCATCAGCGATTCAAGGATCATGCACTGACAGAAGATATCAATGTTCATTGAGTCCACTACTAAATGTTTTATCATCGTGCGAGTGTCTAGTACAGCACCACTGATGGGCCCGCTTAATGATAAATGACCTCTCCGCAACTCAGCAGACACTGGAATACTCTCACCATGAAGCAACATGCTGAGTTTTCAACCGTGATCCATCTTTGGTTTCTTGGCACTAACACGAAACTCTCTGCATGCCAGTTGAAATAACACGCTGTAGCAACAATGAACAATAACGGGTGGTTTCCAAGAAATGTACCTGACAAGACACAGACATACTTCACCGTGCATTGCCTCGCACAGTCTCAAAACAATACTGAATTCAGGGGTTTGTTAACATCAGAACAAGCTGTATTACGGAGTACTTTGAAGTTACCCCTTTGAAGCACTTGGGAACATAACTTTATCTGTGACACGGCATGGAAATAGGGGAAGGAGCATTGAGACCGGTTCTCGCATCCCGCTATCGCATTAGAATGATTTGGTTGAATCAAAAATAATTGTTCTCAAATTAAGTCAAATGGCAATCTCGGATTCAAATACAACTTGATTATTGGCGATCAAAAAAAGAATGCAAAAACATATGACCCGGGACCACATTTGAGTCACTGTCAAAAAGGAAAGAGGATGTGAAAGTATAACTCCAAAACAAGGCTGCTGGGTTAAAGATTGGACAGGGATTTCTGATGTGAGCGTAGTTAAACTGTATTTTTTACCCACCACTTTACCTGGTCTTCTTTTGTACGCTACAGTTTCAACTACAGATACTAGAAATTTTAAAGGCTTTGCAACATTTCAAAGAGTGTCTTCTTCCTTATTCTTTGATGATTACGGTAAAAAAAAAACTCTGTTCTCTTCACATTTGGCCTACACGCATGTATTGAATAAAACGATTTAAGGGTTTTCAACTTCACTGCGAGCATTGATTGTCTGGCGTCCATGTGCACAAGCCACTCCTCTTGTACCAACTTTGAAAAGGTGGTATGGGTTTATCTGCCCTTATTTTTGCTCAGTGCAATGTCAGACAAACTGTCTCCATGGTGAGTGACCTTGTTTGAGTCACAGGAAACCTTAGTGTGAAAAGTCTGACAGCCAAGAAGACAAAGCCGAGGGATGGATTGGCATTGCAAGAAATGAAAAGACATTTTGCTCAATTCCTATGCTGTAATGTATCTTATTAAAAAAATATCACTTCAACTCAAATAATAGGATGCGGGGAAAAACACACTATAAAAAATATACTGTAATTTTACAAAATGCCATTTAAAAATAATTCTGCTGGAAATGTTATTATTTTATCTTTATATCGATTGGTTAAAGTGAAATAGAAGCTAGTTGCAAGGCTTAGTTAAAGGGACAGAAATCCAGTTGACACAGTTTAGCTTAGCTGGGTGTTACACGCTCATTAAACGATTATTGCCTGAAATAGGTTGCAAAATACAGCAGTGACAATCCTCGGTGTGTTTCGAACTTGAGACGGCGTGTTTACCTTTTTAACCGGCTTGTGAGTGGGCACCGCGCTGAAGGCGGACGACAGCTCTTCCATGTTCATTTCGGTGTTCTTGCTCACCGTCATGACAGAATATTTCTCGGCCACGTTTTCGCTTTCTTTCACCTCTTTGCTCGCCTGCTTCACCTCCAGCTTCACCTCCACGGTCGTCTCTGACATCGTTGGCGGTGGCTTGCCAGTCGTTACCAGGACAAGAACGAAAGCCTTCGGGGGACGTCGTGCTGCTTAAGTCTTCGTCTTCTCTGCTTGTCAACGTCAGACACAAATGGCATCGATGTCCTGGCAAATGCTGGCGAGCTACGCGGCACCAACGAGGGGAAAAGGAATTCTCAAATGACGCAATGTAAAGTACAGACTCTTTTTTTTTTTCTGGCGTTGTGAGTGTTCGCTGGTATGCTGTTAGCCCAAGTGAGGTCGCGTTGTTTGCTGGACTGGTTCAACTGTCACCTGCTACCCCAGCTGAGTGAGTTTGTGGGTGGTGGCTAACAGACTGAGGGGGGCGTTTCCCTCGACAAGAAGAGTTCAATGTAACAGTAAGAATGCGGTAATCTCTGAACTCTCCATATTTCCGTATTTTCTACGTTTTGGGGAGATTCCAATTAGCGAATGTTCAAGACGGCAACATAATTACAATTTCTAGCAGCAGGCGGAGTACACCCTGAACTGGTTGCGAGCCACCAATTGCAGGGCACGCATAGACAAGCCATTCGAGCTCACAATCACATCTTGGGATAGTCAGCGTCCAATCAACCTTCCATGCGTGTTTTTGGAACGTGGGAGGAAAGCCCAGTACCCGGAGAAAACCCACGAATTCACGGGAAGAACATGCGAACTCCACACCGGAAGGCCGGGGCCGGATTCGAACCGATGACCTCTGCACTGTGAGGCGGGCGTGGAAACCAGTCACTCACCCCCCCCAAAATTGTTGATGGCAGTATTAAAAGAATTAAAAATGCCCGATCCTACTTTTTACAAGTGACTTTTACGTTATGAATCGAATTATATAAAAAATTACCCAGTTTCATTTTTTTTCCGAGCGGGGGGGGGGCTAAAATTGCCCCGCCTTCCCAGAACAAGCTGGCTTTTCGAACGAGCCAAGACGCCATTTTCCATCGACAGCTGAAAAGGACATCACGTTCGAACAACGCCCCGGTCAAATCACACTCCTAATTAACACCGATAAAGTAGGGTCTTGGATCGTAATGTAAGTAACATCATTGTCTTGCATTATTGTTCTGGTTAATAATTAGAAATAAATATGTGATCCTTTGTTTCATTTCTGCGACCGCAGCCTGAGGCCTTTAAACCAGGTGACGGCCATTTTAGCTGTCTCGTGCTAGCCGTTAGTCTCGAAGGGACGAAACAATGCCGTTTCTAGTGAATTATATACTTTATTTGGCTGATGTGGAGCAATACCAAGCGCTTTTTATGGTTAGTTGATATGTTACCGGTGGATGTATTGCTTCCCGTGAGACACTAGGAATAGCGGCCTTTCAAGCTAAGGCTAGCAAACCAGCTAACCGAAAATTGGGCCGGGCCCTCCCCGACCGCCTTTCTACACAATTGCATGTAAGGAATAATAGGCGTTTGCGTCGTGGTTTGTAATATGAATATACATTTCGAATTAACATCGCCAACGCTAAACGTTAGTGCATCATCCAATCGATCTATCGTTGTTGTTACTTGTTGTAAATAATTGCGTTTTTGCATTTCCTGCTGAGACTAATTTGTCGTATCTATAATGTGCATGAGATCTATGAGATTAGATAAACCAAAAAAGGATGTGCGAACATGGTACTATAGCATGTAAATTAACCACGAACATAACTGTATCCGCCGTTTTTAACAACTTTTTTTTTTTAACCATTTACAGATCCAGTCATGCACCGCGAATGCCCCCTTGACTGCAAGGTCTATGTTGGAAATCTGGGGAACAATGGCAACAAGACAGAGTTAGAAAGGTCATTTAGTTACTATGGGCCTCTCCGCAGTGTGTGGGTGGCCAGGAACCCCCCAGGCTTTGCCTTTGTAGAATTTGAAGACCCCAGAGATGCTACTGATGCAGTGCGAGAGCTTGATGGGAGGTAGGAGGCGAGCACACCTAACATGACATACAATCACTGTAACGTTATGGCTACTAATTGTCACGTTTTATGCCTTCTGTTTTGTCTAGAACATTGTGTGGTTGCCGTGTGCGAGTGGAGCTGTCCAATGGGGAGAAACGCAGTCGCACCCGCGGCGCCCCGCCATCGTGGAGCAGGCGCCCCCGAGACCGGGATGATTACAGGCGGCGTAGTCCACCAGCAAGGCGAAGGTAACCTACAAGATGTTTTTGACATTGGTCGACCATTGCCTGCATTTGTAATGTAATCCCAGCAATTGCTGCTGTCTCTTTCATTCACGGGATACTTTACAAATTGGGGGCTAGTGTTGTCTTTTTATGCTTTTCTTAGGTTTTTTTTTTTTTTTTTTTTTTTTTTAAGACTCATGTTATCACTGCCATTGACGGTGTCATTTTACAGGGACAATTAAATATAATACGAGTTAATGTTTGATTAAAATAGAACCTCCAGTTACATTTTGTAGTCCCTGCTAAGTGATTAGACTACATATATTTGGTACTTCCGACCCATATCAACCAACCTTTTAGAGCAAGAACCCTGCTAATTTTTAAGTCTTAAGATAGAGATGGTAAAATGCATTTTATAGAGAATAACTCGTCTAAAGCGAGAGCATTGCGAAATAAATGGATACATTAACTAACCCTCACTTTTACCTTTATTGAAGGCACTTGCTAAAGTGATTGTGTTCTTTTTCATTCAATTATGTTTCTCTTATTAAAGAGACAATACATAAAACTTTCTTTGGCTTACTACTGCGGCTTACTGAACAGCAGTAGTTGTTGAATAAGCAACCTTGTGGAAAATATATCTTTTTTTCTAATAACTGAATTAGTTTTACTTGAAGCTAATCAGTAAACACTTTGCGGGGACTGCAGTCAATAGCAGTATTCAAGTTTAAATATCGATTGTACGCCTTAAGCACCAAGTGCGCAACTGAGACAAAAGTTGTTGAACTGGGAGGGGTTTAGAGTGCCAAATGTGATGCTTTTCCTTTTTGTTTGAGGATGCTTTTTATTTTTCATATATATTAATAAGAATGAAACCCGTTGCAGAGCCACCACCATGCCTCTTCTCACCACCCTCAGAGTCAATCAACTAGTCCTCTTTCAGCATCATGTGACTGCTGACCATCGTGCCTCAATCAGCTTGACTGGTGCTGTCACATGACCCAGGCATGGCCAGTCGTCAGGTTGCACCAGGCCATTGGTTCCTCATCATGCTCTTCTCAACCACCTCCTCCTTCAACCTTAACCCAAACAGCAGCGGCCCACCTCACATTCCAATCAGCGTATCGCGTTTCCAAATGTCGACAACCTACCAGCAGCAGCCTTCGGCTAACCAATTAAAGCAGGGAAAAAGCCGCAGCCAGCTCCCACCTGCCTGCCACCTTATCACCTCGCAGCATCTGGCCAGGTCTATTCTGCCAATTCTTCCTACCCGGCCGACAGTCTGCCTCCCTTTCGTCATATCTAGCTTGTTGAAAACCAAAAATACTAGTAAGTTTTCCTGCTTCATTCAGTACACTGATAACAGTTGTAAAAGTGAAGAGACAGCTGGTTTATCAAGGTTGTTCCTTTCTTTATTTATTTATTTTTTTTTGGGGTGAACATTTACATAAGTTTGTCCTTACCCATTACTGTGATTCCTTGTTTCCAAAGGTGAAGGGCCCACCATCAAATGTCTGGAATTTAGAATCTGATTAGAAACTATGCTATAAAGGGGTTACAGCATAGTTATCAGCTGATTTGTACCTAAAACCTGTTTACTTGGCTACTCCTTACTATTTCCAAATGTTCTCGTGGTGTACATACAGTAGACCAGTTAGATGTTAATCCTACAAAATTGGCAGTCCACGGTGCAGCGTCCCATCTTCGCAAGGGGAGCAGTTGGTGTTAGTTGGCTCATCTTGAGGTTTTGGCTTCACATCTTATAACTAACGTAGTTGTGGAATGGACCTTCTACTGTGGGTTAGGTGAAACCTTCTGAAGAGTCTATTGACATACGGCCCAATACTAGTGGTTTATGAAAGCATATATTTAGTGCATTTCTGATGGGGGGTGGCACAGACTGACAATATGTAAGGGTCTGGCGATGACGTCGGCGTCAGTTAAAGTTGTTAACGTTTTCACATTTTCTCCACACAGATCTCCACGCAGGCGGAGCTTTAGTCGCAGTCGCAGCAGGTATGTCATTTTTTGACAGTCATTCACGCTCAGGCTTTTTTCCTTGACAATGGCCCCATGTTTTTGTGGCTCAGTTAAAACAAAAAAAAAAAAGAAAGATGTGTATTGCATGTAGAATCTCGAAACCGGATACACGGTTCTGGTTTTTCCATTTTAGCAAGCTGTGCAGTGTGCAGCAAACAGTCTGACACTATCTGATCCTCTTGAAGTCTCTTGCCCCCATGTTGCTTGTTGTAACTCACGTGGTATTTGTATAATTAATGGTGTGTTTGTTTCTTTTACGCAGGTCTTTCTCTAGAGACAGGAGGAGGGAGCGTTCCCTCTCTCGGGACAGGAACCACAAGACTTCAAGGTCCTTCTCTCGGTCAAGGAGGTACATAGCCTATAGTTCTTTGGCTGGATAAACGCAACAGGGTTTTCATTGGGTCCTTGACTGAATTGCAAATTTCATGCTTTTCTTTTTTCAGTCGTTCCAGGTCAAATGACAGAAAGTAGAAGAACAGGATGAGAGAGGATGAAGACGGTTCTACTTTGTTTTCAAATGATGAACTTTGTTTTTTTTTTTTTTTTTTTTATCCGTCACGATTTTTAGTCTCACTGATTTTGTTAGTCATTTTACATACATTGGGTGTGCACAGGTGTGAGGTCTCATAAAAGCCCTGCGAGTGCACCACCCAGCATTCCACCAATTATCACTCAATAACTACTTATTTTTCCCTTGTTTTTATAAATGGATATGTGTAGTTTGACCCATAGTGAGAGTTTATTTTCATTGTGTATATTGGATTAAGAAGGAAGAAATGTGATGCATTATAAGTGACTTCCACTGTGTGATTTGGAAGGTAAACTGATGTTCATGCTACTTCCTTATAAAATGGCGAAGGTTTCCGTCCATCTGTGCGTGTGTGATTTACAAGGATGGAACGTATCTGGAAACCTCAATCATTTTTTTTTCCATTTTCTGTACTTTGATACGATGTGAAACTGTCTCTCAATTAAAAATATTGCTTTCAAACAAGTTTACACTGCTTTTTCCTCTCTTTACTTAGTTAAGATCCAACCATCAAATCCCTTTTCTTCAAAAGGAAGTCATTCCTCCCTCCAAAAAAAGTTACTTTCTCCAATCAGGAAAATCTCAGTTTGTAGATGCTACAGTACGCATAACAGTAGAACTTCAATGTGGAGATTCGCCTCCTGCTATCCATCTGTCCATTTTCTACACTGCCCTTACTCGGGTTTGTGGTTTGCTTTAGCTAATCCCATCTGACGTTGCGTGAGAGGCAGTGTATGTTGGTGCAATTTGTTGCCAGTATTGTAGATTATCTTAAATTTCGAGATTGTACCTATGATCCCATGATTCAAAGTTGTAATGCGCCACTACACGATTTATCTGCTGCATTTTTTGCTATTTTGGTGAAATTCCACACTAGTCCTTTTTGTTTTGTTTTGAATCCACTTTAAGTAGACGATTGTAATCTTCAACATCAATGCAAATTTATTTAGAAACTCGTACAAAAAAATCCTCCGTTGTGTGTATGAGTAAACCTGATCAAATCTATTAGTGATGAAAATGGCTTTCTCCCTTTGATGAGGCAATATTAATGAAGAAATGTGATGTTTGGGTGGTTTCCTAAAAAAAAATTAGGATTTTTGGAGGGATGGGGATTTTTCCCCAAAACCAGCGATAAGTGACTTAGGCAGCAAACTAAACTGATTTCTTTTGTTGGATCTTGATTTAAATTTAATCTAAATCGAATTCTTGCTAGTGTGGCAAACGAGATGCAACCCAAAATGTTACCCGTGTAAATCCAACACGCAATAATGCGTATAATAAACATTTGATGGATCATAGTTGTTTGTGAATTCATTATAATCCTTTGAGGATTATATATCAGACCCCTAATTTCATTTTTAATTTCATCATGAAAAGTTCCCCACCCGTGGATTGCTCATTCTAATCATCATCTCACTATAACCTGCGGTTAGAACCTACTTCAAGGGGATGTTTGTGTTTATAACAAAGCAGATCTAAAAAGCAGAGCACGCGATTCGCTCAATGAAGAGTTTATTCAATAATAAGAAATTCCTTTTGCCCTGTGATCGAAATGGCGCACCCCACGGGCGATTCACCCCCTCCCCCACCACCACAACCACCACTAGCGCTCATCCCACTGTCCAATCGCAAATTTTCCGTCCCACCCCTCGCAGTCCCACGGCTGGTATGTTCACGCATACATCCCACGTGAAGTGCCATAATGCAGGCACGCGGAGACGCAGGGACGGCCTCTCCAAATTGCGCGCGTCTTTCCACCGACTTGCAAAGCATTTGGTGGATGGCTCAAATCCGTGTGACGTGGCCGTGGGCCGTGACTCACGGGTCTCCACGGGGGCGGCTCCCACGCTTGAGAAACTCGCGGGAATCCACTCACTTATGTAGTTAAGGTATATTATCCACCCACTGTTATGTAACTTCAACACTGGTACATGATGTGACGGCCACGGAGCTCAACGTTGGATTTTTTTTAATTTTTTTTTTTTTTACACCCAAAATTTTTAGTTTCCAACAGTATGATTACCAATAAGATTAGTTTATGGTAATTAAAAGTTAAATAGAACAGAGCTGTACTTAAAAAGTACTGTACTTGAAAAATAAAAACGTACATGAAAAGTATTAAGATGTCCTCTTCTCGATTTTAATAAAAAGTTGAAACTGTAGCTACAACCTTCATTTAATTGACTTGTATTTCACATTTGAAATGGTTTAAAGTTTGTTTTTAATTTGGGGATTCTTTAATGAGGATAAGTGGATTAGAAAATGGATGGCTGAATGGATAGATGGTTTCTTTTATGAACACCGAATTTAAATAGCCACATACAGTAACTTTGTCTTTATGATAGGAAGGATGTTACAGCTCTTAAAGGGCCAGTAGTGCTTGATCACTGAACAAAATACTGCAACTGTTACATTATGTTGAAATTATTTAAAGGGACACAGTGCTTGATTTATATATATATATATATTTTTTCCCCCCACCCCCATGCAATTTTGTCACTGAGTTTGTGAATTATTTCTTCAATGAGCATGTTCACAATGAGCATGAATTTGTAACAAACAAACAAAAAAAAAAGCTTGCAGTATCTCTACGTTATTAAAAGACACTTTCCAATTATGGTACAAATTTGACCAACAAGCAGAGATTCTGAGTTCTAATTTTGAAAAGATTTAACAGGTTTGCACTGTGACTGATTGTAACTTTTGGGTGTAACTTTTGGCACCATGTGAGGTGGGTTCCAACTCAGCCACTACCCAAATGAGAATAAGCACTATAGATAAAGGGCATTTTTGAATAATCCATCCATCCATTTTCAACACCGCTTATCCTGAACAGGGTCGCGGGGAGTTGCTGGAAATGCCAGCTGACTTTGAGTGGAAGCATAAACACCCTGAGCTGGTCGTCAGTCAGTCGCAGGGGACACATAGAGACTAAGGACCAATCACACCTATCGTATGCTGCCCGCACACACCGCTGTCCGGCATGTGTGTCACTACATCATCAGCGACTCATTTTTGTATAATGTAATTAAAAATTACATTGCATTATTATTTTTATATTATTATTTTGCATACATATTTGAACTTTTTCTAAATTCTTTGCCAGGTGCCTGTCCTATCTATCCATTTTAAAAATCAGATGTGGCTTTTGAGCCAGGCACAGCTCCAGGAATTTTCCATTCCCAGTGCTAAAGGGAAACTTGACCAATACATAAGGGGCCAAGAAAATAAGTTATTAAATATACATATGCAGTTTACAGGTTGGCTGTGTGAGACAGCATACAAGGTATTATTATTTTGATACTTAATCAGATGCCATTGATACTTGCATTTTTAATGTTGATATACTGCCTAATAGAATGAAGGAAAATGAATATGGAGTCTGTGTTGCTTTAATGCCTCAACAACCATGTCAATATGGAGTTGTAAAATCGACTTGTCAACTAGTCGACCAATAAGTTCAACCCGTAATTACCACAAACATATTTTTGGGATTCATTTTAAGATGAATAGTTTTACCAAGGACTATGGTGTTTGTAATCTGCAGTGTTACCAGGAAGCAGGTGGAAGAGCAAAGGTGGAGAAGCAGTTTGACCAACACGGTTGTAATGCATACGATCACGCAAGTTACATCATGGTGTTTTTACCACACTTAAACTCACATCTATGTGCTTCGTTCATTTTCTATTTCACAATGGGAGAAACAATGCGCACCAAATGACCTTAAGCGTATAGACACACACGGAGGGCCTCTCCCGTGCTGGAATTTCCTCCAGTCAGGGATCCAAGAATCACGTGTGCTCGTGTATTTACCGGATTCTATCCACGTGCGGGAGCAGATAGGCCACACCCCCTGTACGCGAAACTGTGCCCCCCGCCCACCGGGGTTCAAAAAGCCTCTGACTACCACCGGTGTGGGAAAACTTGAGACGCTATCAAAAGCCATCTTATAACTCTGTAGCTATTCTCGCAAAGTTGATTTTTTTTCCAAGGCTAAAGCCAAACGATTTCGACTGGCTCAGAACAGGGCTTCAATTGGACCACTCTCGACTGACAATGTAAGTAAAGTGATTTAGTGTGTTTTTCAGTTTGCTATATTAACTTGAAGTTCGTGATATGTTGTCTACTTTAAAAGTTGCTCAGTTGGCGTGATGGCAAAATTATTTATTTATTTGTGCATGATGGCAAAAGTACGAATGCCTTCCACTGGTTGAGTGACTTAGTAGTACCGGTATACTATAAAGCAATTTTGTGTTTGGTTTGTCACAAAAGACTTACTTTCCACTGTTGTTATTCGACGAAGGGAGTGTGTCGAGCAAGTTGACAGCTCATAGCCGGCCGACACGAGTTTTGGACTCACGTGTACCGGCATAGTAACTGGGCGGGCTCGTCCTCTCCCGCCACAGCCTTGAACCACCGTTTGTCGGTGCCGCCCATCGAACAACCCCCTTACGTCATTTCCGCTTCATGGGAAAGCTTATTGGAGGGTGCAGTACTTATTTAAAATGTCACATTACTTTCAGATGGATGCGGAAAATTATTTAATAAGTAGGTGGTTGTGTTAAAACTAAATTTGTCAAACGTCAACCCCAGTTTAAGAGTTCCATCCATCCTTATACAGTAGTCACTGTCCCAGTTAATTCCTTTACACGGAACTTAAATGCCTCTTTTCGGCACACATATTTATCCTGCTTCTTTTTTACCTTATTCTATTTCTCTACCATAATGATAAACCTGGTGTACAGGAGCAGTTGCATTTGTCTTAAATACTGTACGTTTGGGAAAATCTTGAAAATGGTTGGGTGAGGTAGGTTAGTTTGAGTCCAGTGCGTACAATCTATATATCGTGTTACTGTTGCAGAGTCTGTTTCAACGTGTTTGGTTTAAAACACGTGAGAATGTTCTGGGCTTCAAATGAATGAACCTCAGTTCCTGGAAAAATGCCACAGTGTACCAGACTGATTTGACTCCACCGTGTGGTCAAACTGTATAATGCAGGTTCTCTCAGTGACTTTAGCGAATTTCCCAAATTCAAAACCCATTACCAAAACATTTTTGTTACTCTGCAAGTGCCAATTCTAAGATATTTTTATATTTTAGTCTTATTAGATCTCATCAGGGCCACACAGTGGGAAGTACTTGGTTCGAATCTCCGCTCCGGCCTCTCTGCATGTACGCCTTGTGCCTGTGCGGGGTTTCTTTGCCTGTGTTTTACCATTTTAGTTTAACTGAAGTTTCTAAATTGTCCATAGGACCTGCCCAACCCTTCCTGGATGGGTGTAATAACTCAGGAGATGGAGTACATTCCTTCCTGCGTATCTTTTTAGAGTAAAATGTACAAAATTTACCCCGTCGTCAAATAGCTTATCATGATCATCATGATAATGTTGCTTTATTCGCCCAATTTAACTTGTCCCTACACGTCCCCCAAAGTCTGATCTTCACCAGTGGACCATTCCACTCCCTTCAAGGCAGATGGCCTGAGAACACCACCTAGTGGTGGATTTTCTCACCTGCAGTCAAGCAACGTTTGCATGAGAACGTGCCCTCACATGTCTGAGTGAGATTGTGTCCGGGCATGTACTAGTCACGTTCACGTGGGAGGGTCCAGAGACCTGTGACTCACTTCTGAGCTTTATAAATAGATTCCCAGGATCACCAGTCTCAGATGCTCTGTTGTACTCACTCAGGAAGCTTACAACAATGGTAAGACACTTAAAAAATATATATTTTAAACTCTCAAGGCACAGGTACGAATTTGCTTTAGATTGGATTTAGGAAGCAAAAGTGTTGTTGATGAAGAATCCACTTGCTGTTTTAAGCAAATTGTTTTCAACGCATTGCTAGACCTGTTAATTTGACAACTTTATGCATGTCTTTTTAGTGCAGAATGATGGCAAACGTCAAATGGATCCTGAGTCCTCTGGGAAAAGGCCCCACACGGCGTAACCTGTTCGGCCCAGTTGACAAGGTGCAGCTGCGGGCAGATTACCAGGCCGCCCTGAGGAAAGACCTGGACGAGGCATCCCGGCGCTGGGGTTTCGACTTCATGTCTGACCAACCTCTGGTTAGCGGCGATTTCCAGTGGGAGGGCGTTCCCGGCGCTAAGGTGCCGCTGCTCTACAGATCCTGTGTGCTGGGCAAGGCAACGAGTCAAAGGGCAACGCAGGTGACGGTTAGCCCCAAGAGGGTCAAGGCGGCGCCGGCAAAGAACGAGAACGAGAAGGAGAATGTCCCTGAAAACAACTCTGAGAGATGTCCTGTCAATCTGGAGAGAACTCCAAGGAAGAAGGAGAATGGAGGACTCAAGAGGAAACAAACTAATATTACAGGTACATTTTCAAGATGTAGCCTTCACTCAGATTATTTAATGTCCACTCGAAACGAATTTAATAAATTACATCAATTCATAGACGCTAATGTTCTCACCATCTAATACTACTCCAGAAGTCTGAGGAATTATCTGTGTGCATTATACTGCCCCCAGGTGGCCACGGCACATACCAATTAAGCATGAAATATGGGAAAAACTGTTTAATACTTTTACCTTCTATTTAATTGTCATAACTGTATGTTTCGATAAGGTACAATATTATAGAGTTTTTAAAAAAGTTTAATTGGTTTGAGTCTTTCTGCTGTTTGAATTGGTGAGATTTGCCTTCTAATTTCCCCCCTCTCTCTTTCTCAACAGACTTCTATCACCCCAAGAGAAGATTCGTCGATATGCGTATTAAATCGGGCGAGTGATCTCTCCGCCACCCCCCCATCTGGGCTGCGTTCCTGGAGGAGTGCCAGTATTCCAACCGATCCTCACAAAAACACTCAGGAATGCCAAGTTGGACACAGACTGCACAGTTGCTCCTAGGGAGACAACTAAGGGACCTCAGCCGTTGTGTCTTTAAGGTTAATTTGGGGGGCTGTATTCATTGAAAACATGGGGTGGGGGATATTAAGGTATTGAACTGCAGAGATTACGATTAATCTCGGTACCGGCGGATTGATACTCATTTGGATCAAGTGGATGTCCTCAGTGTCGAATGACTTATTCCGTCTGCATTCCGCTCCATTCAAAAGGCAGTTTTTACGTCTCTGCCACACGGAATAAGAGAAATGTAGGATGACCATTACTTGAAACACAAGATACCATCAGGCTTCGCGCCAACCTGCCTCAACCAAATCACCAAATGACAAGGATAAAACGTCCTTTGGCTCCTCTTCGCTGGAATCCACATACATGTACATTTTTTTTCTACTTTGTTGTTGTTAGTCATGATGATCTTTATTGTTCTGTTTTTGTTTTTTTTTTTCCACCCCAAAAGCACTTACTGTGTGTTATACTTTATATATCCTGTCGACCGATGCAGAACACATGCTTGAAGTGTACTTATGGGCTCTATGCACATTTGCTTTGCTTAGACTAGATGTGATCAAGCGTCATGATGTTATTCCATCTTGTGTTATATAATTAAAGCGACCTAGCCCCCAATGTGTACCAGATAATGTAGTGTGGTACACATTAAGAAATGATTACAGAGTTAAAAAAAAAAAATCTGAGTTATCTATTAGACTAGCTCTGTAAAGTAGCGTTATTGTAAACACATTGCGGTATTGCACATGCACTTCGTGTACTGGACCCGTCCAGTATTGACTGTCTTCTTCTTGGGATGTCCCTCGCTAGTCGACAATCACAAGATTGTTCTCAACCTAACTCGGCGTATTATTTACAAAGATCACATGAAGTGCCAAACCTCTCCCATTGCTCTAATGCATGCAATTTATGACACTAATGGTTGTTCTCCGCCTTGAAAAAAAACAAATGGTATGTCTTCATCGCTCTTCTATTTATGTCCGTCTTATGTTGGCGGTTCTGCTGCTAGGGCTAATTTGAACGGGTGTGGTGGTGGTGGTGGTGGTGGTGGTGGTAGTGGGGGGAGGATGTCACGTTAATGCTCACGAACTGACACCGTGAAGATGATGATGATGATGATGAGCCCAAATGTTGACTGCACTTCCTGTTTGATGCTCGTGCGCAGGTCCGTCTATACTGTTCTATGTGTAAAGCTATCAATGAAAAAAAATCTATCCCTTTATTTATTGTACTGCACCTTGTGTTGATTTACTTTGTTCAAGAATTACAAATGACAATAAAATGTCTGAATTAAATGTGTGTGCCTGTTGTCATATTCAATGGCTTTACTCGTTATCCATCCACAGGGTGATTGTGAATGGAACCGAGTGTGATCCAACACGCTCCCAAAAGAAAAAAAACATTGTGACTCATCAGCATTTGTTGAAAATAAAAAGAGGCTCCCTCGCCCCATCTTGTGCCTTCAATGTGATTAAGAAATCAAATTCAGTTTTAATTAGTTTTTTTTTTTAAGACTTTGTGTAATCAACTACAATTCTCAAACAAATGTTTGACTTTACTTCTGGACAGGCGTACAGCAATTGACAAAGATGAAAATAAAAGGGCATTTTCGCTATAATTATAATTTTATAAATGTAAGATGTTTGTAAGTTTTCGTTTTGATGAATGGATCTTTTTTTTCATCAGGGAAAATGTTTTGTTTTATCTTGTTAGTTTTCTTAATAAGAAAATGGGTTAGTTGAAGACGAAATAGTTGACAATTGTAGTTGCCCAAATGTTTCAGGTTCCTCACTCAAAACTATAAGTCATGAGTCATGGTCTCTTGGGCAACGTAGTACTGAGCATCACCATGGCAACCCCAAACCCCCCGATGAATCGTTTTTCTGCTTTTCATGTATCCCAGCGGTTGACCTGATTTCTGTCAATCCGACTTCTATTTTAAACACAGTTTTTACAACAGTGTCATCACGCTTGTGTCCTTGCTTGACAGCGATGGGGACCTGTTTATCTTAAAAGTGCCTAGTTGGGAATGATACTGTAAGTAATTCACCCGCACAAGTGGCTATAATACTTATTTTATTGGTTCATCATTAAAAAAAAAAATTGAACGTCTTAAAAATGAGTTTGAACCATCATTCGGCGAGCTGTAAGCAGATCTAAAATCACTCCCCGGTGAAATTCATGCTCATGATATTGATTTGTATAATGTTGTGCATGACACATAGTATAAGCATCTAATTAAATAGAATGGAAAGAATTTAATTGTTTGAGTAACATTATTAATTCATTACGGCTCTTTGTAGTGTGCGCCACATAGGGCAGTAAAATCCGATCCTAAATACTACTCCAGAAGTCTGAGGAATTATCTGTGTGCATTATACTGCCCCCAGGTGGCCACGGCACATACCAATTAAGCATGAAATATGGGAAAAACTGTTTAATACTTTTACCTTCTATTTAATTGTCATAACTGTATGTTTCGATAAGGTACAATATTATAGAGTTTTTAAAAAAGTTTAATTGGTTTGAGTCTTTCTGCTGTTTGAATTGGTGAGATTTGCCTTCTAATTTCCCCCCTCTCTCTTTCTCAACAGACTTCTATCACCCCAAGAGAAGATTCGTCGATATGCGTATTAAATCGGGCGAGTGATCTCTCCGCCACCCCCCCATCTGGGCTGCGTTCCTGGAGGAGTGCCAGTATTCCAACCGATCCTCACAAAAACACTCAGGAATGCCAAGTTGGACACAGACTGCACAGTTGCTCCTAGGGAGACAACTAAGGGACCTCAGCCGTTGTGTCTTTAAGGTTAATTTGGGGGGCTGTATTCATTGAAAACATGGGGTGGGGGATATTAAGGTATTGAACTGCAGAGATTACGATTAATCTCGGTACCGGCGGATTGATACTCATTTGGATCAAGTGGATGTCCTCAGTGTCGAATGACTTATTCCGTCTGCATTCCGCTCCATTCAAAAGGCAGTTTTTACGTCTCTGCCACACGGAATAAGAGAAATGTAGGATGACCATTACTTGAAACACAAGATACCATCAGGCTTCGCGCCAACCTGCCTCAACCAAATCAACAAATGACGAGGATAAAACGTCCTTTGGCTCCTCTTCGCTGGAATCCACATACATGTACATTTTTTTTCTACTTTGTTGTTGTTCGTCATGATGATCTTTATTGTTCTGTTTTTGTTTTTTTTTTTCCACCCCAAAAGCACTTACTGTGTGTTATACTTTATATATCCTGTCGAACGATGCAGAACACATGCTTGAAGTGTACTTATGGGCTCTATGCACATTTGCTTTGCTTAGACTAGATGTGATCAAGCGTCATGATGTTATTCCATCTTGTGTTATATAATTAAAGCGACCTAGCCCCCAATGTGTACCAGATAATGTAGTGTGGTACACATTAAGAAATGATTACAGAGTTAAAAAAAAAAATCTGAGTTATCTATTAGACTAGCTCTGTAAAGTAGCGTTATTGTAAACCCATTGCGGTATTGCACATGCACTTCGTGTACTGGACCCGTCCAGTATTGACTGTCTTCTTCTTGGGATGTCCCTCGCTAGTCGACAATCACAAGATTGTTCTCAACCTAACTCGGCGTATTATTTACAAAGATCACATGAAGTGCCAAACCTCTCCCATTGCTCTAATGCATGCAATTTATGACACTAATGGTTGTTCTCCGCCTTGAAAAAAAACAAATGGTATGTCTTCATCGCTCTTCTATTTATGTCCGTCTTATGTTGGCGGTTCTGCTGCTAGGGCTAATTTGAACGGGTGTGGTGGTGGTGGTGGTGGTGGTGGTAGTGGGGGGAGGATGTCACGTTGATGCTCACGAACTGACACCTTGAAGATGATGATGATGATGAGCCCAAATGTTGACTGCACTTCCTGTTTATTGACGCTCGTGCGCAGGTCCGTCTATACTGTACTGTTCTATGTGTAAAGCTATCAATGAAAAAAAATCTATCCCTTTATTTATTGTACTGCACCTTGTGTTGATTTACTTTGTTCAAGAATTACAAATGACAATAAAATGTCTGAATTAAATGTGTGTGCCTGTTGTCATATTCAATGGCAAAGATCACATGAAGTGCCAAACCTCTCCCATTGCTCTAATGCATGCAATTTATGACACTAATGGTTGTTCTCCGCCTTGAAAAAAAACAAATGGTATGTCTTCATCGCTCTTCTATTTATGTCCGTCTTATGTTGGCGGTTCTGCTGCTAGGGCTAATTTGAACGGGTGTGGTGGTGGTGGTGGTGGTGGTGGTGGTAGTGGGGGGAGGATGTCACGTTAATGCTCACGAACTGACACCGTGAAGATGATGATGATGATGATGAGCCCAAATGTTGACTGCACTTCCTGTTTATTGACGCTCGTGCGCAGGTCCGTCTATACTGTACTGTTCTATGTGTAAAGCTATCAATGAAAAAAAATCTATCCCTTTATTTATTGTACTGCACCTTGTGTTGATTTACTTTGTTCAAGAATGACAAATGATAATAAAATGTCTGAATTAAATGTGTGTGCCTGTTGTCATATTCAATGGCTTTACTCGTTATCCATCCACAGGGTGATTGTGAATGGAACCGAGTGTGATCCAACACGCTCCCAAAAGAAAAAAAACATTGTGACTCATCAGCATTTGTTGAAAATAAAAAGAGGCTCCCTCGCCCCATCTTGTGCCTTCAATGTGATTAAGAAATCAAATTCAGTTTTAATTAGTTTTTTTTTTTAAGACTTTGTGTAATCAACTACAATTCTCAAACAAATGTTTGACTTTACTTCTGGACAGGCGTACAGCAATTGACAAAGATGAAAATAAAAGGGCATTTTCGCTATAATTATAATTTTATAAATGTAAGATGTTTGTAAGTTTTCGTTTTGATGAATGGATCTTTTTTTTCATCAGGGAAAATGTTTTGTTTTATCTTGTTAGTTTTCTTAATAAGAAAATGGGTTAGTTGAAGACGAAATAGTTGACAATTGTAGTTGCCCAAATGTTTCAGGTTCCTCACTCAAAACTATAAGTCATGAGTCATGGTCTCTTGGGCAACGTAGTACTGAGCATCACCATGGCAACCCCAAACCCCCCGATGAATCGTTTTTCTGCTTTTCATGTATCCCAGCGGTTGACCTGATTTCTGTCAATCCGACTTCTATTTTAAACACAGTTTTTACAACAGTGTCATCACGCTTGTGTCCTTGCTTGACAGCGATGGGGACCTGTTTATCTTAAAAGTGCCTAGTTGGGAATGATACTGTAAGTAATTCACCCGCACAAGTGGCTATAATACTTATTTTATTGGTTCATCATTAAAAAAAAAAATTGAACGTCTTAAAAATGAGTTTGAACCATCATTCGGCGAGCTGTAAGCAGATCTAAAATCACTCCCCGGTGAAATTCATGCTCATGATATTGATTTGTATAATGTTGTGCATGACACATAGTATAAGCATCTAATTAAATAGAATGGAAAGAATTTAATTGTTTGAGTAACATTATTAATTCATTACGGCTCTTTGTAGTGTGCGCCACATAGGGCAGTAAAATCCGATCCTACGGACCAAAACGAAAAACAGTCACCATGACTTTCACAGATTCATCCATCCATGCATCATTCCATAACGTTAGTCCTTTTTTCGCAGCGGATAATCAAATGATTGCCAAGCTAACCTGTCCACCGTGCTACCCAATAAAAACAAAAATTTCCCACAATATATCCATTTTAAATCAAGACTTGTACAATTTGGCCAGATTGTTTGGATTGGGACTGCAGCCCCCCCCTCCGCCCCTCCACAGGCCCTTCTGTGCTCCCTCTGCCCCTCCCGCACCTCTACTCCAACAGCGGCGGCGCTACGCCTGCGCTAAACTCGCTCCCATCCCCACCCCCGCCATCATCTGCTCCTTTGCTCCCACCTCCATTACAGGACAGGACAGGCAGCATTTGCATTTGCACAGAAAGAAAAGAGGGGATGGGAGGGGAGGAGAGGGAAAGGAGAGAGAGAACAAGATCAGAGCGGCCGAGAGGGAGAACGGAGGCGAGGAGCCTGCGGATGTCGACGGCGTCAACCATGGAGCCGCATAGGACGTACTGAGGTGATCGTCAGCCAGGCGTCGGCTGAGGGTGAAGATAGGTGGAGCGGGGTGGGGTGGGGGGCTCAGGGGGAGGAAGAGGAGGTGAGGAGGAGGAGGAGGAGGTCGGGGGAAGCAGGAGAATGGGCCTGGAGCGCAAACCGCACAAATTGGATTAAAGCAGTATGGTAACGTTTCTCATTTGATTCCTCGTCCTCATCCTCATGTCCTCATCCACCCCCGTCGTGTCCCGCTGCTGCCGGTCCTGTGTCACTTCCATCCCCTCGCTTGCGCTACGAAAAGACACAGTCAGGTCACAGCGTCATCCTTTTGCTGCATTGTTGTGTCTTCGCAGTCATGCAGCATCGCACATGCAGCGCCAGCTTTCCAGCAGCCCCGCATCCCGCTTTCTCCCACCGGGGGTCGTCTGTTTTTTGTCATCACCATTACAACGTGTTTGTAACCTACTTTCAGGGGTGGTGGGGGGCGGATGAGGGGGTAGCGGGCTGTTAGCTAATGGCCCCTGAGAGCCATCAGAGCCATCAGTATCACGCCGCCACGCCAGTCAAATGCTGATAAATCCTCCCACTGACCCGTCCAGAGAAATTAGAGCACGGCATCCGAGATGTTTGGTGTCATGTGTCTCCCTGAGCTCATGTTTGCAGGCTCTGATTACACTGTTTTGACGTCAGGCAAGCGAGGGCAGGCGGGCATTAAAATAGATGCCATCTGCCAGGCCACCCATATACCCGTGTAGGGAATCCCCACTTGGACCGCTCATCACATTATTCGTCACCCAAATTATTCACAGCAACTTAACGTATGCACTGTGCGTATCCCAGGGGTGTCCAAACTGTTTTTTCTTACTTCGGGGACAACATACAGAAATTTTGAAGAATACAAGGGCCAAACAGCAATCTGTAATAAGATGGGGGCGGGGGCCTGGAATGGATCAAGAACATTTTGTTCATTTCAGTGGGGAAAGGTGATTCAACATCAGCGCCACTTTCTTTATCTCCTCGTCATCCTTTCAGCTGGACAAGAGCGAGGTGACAACTCTCAGCCTCCCTTCCACCGCCAGCCATGGAGGCTCTGACAGCAACATCAGTGCAGAGGGCGCGGCGGGGTCAGTGTCGGGCGGAGTGGCGGCCGGCGGCGGTGGCGAGGGCACCGCAGGCGGGGCGGGATGCGGTGAGCCCCAGCGGACGCGGGCTGCTCTGGAGCATCTGCAGCAGAAAATCCTGAAGGTGACCGAGCAGATCCGGGTGGAGCAGGAGGCCCGCGATGACAACGTGGCCGAATACTTGAAGCTGGCCCACAACGCCGACAAGCAGCAGGCCTCCAGGATCAAGCAGGTGTTTGAGAAGAAGAACCAAAAGTCGGCGCAGACCATCGCACACTTGCACAAAAAGCTCGAGCACTATCACAAGAAGTTAAAGGAGATCGAGCAGGTGAGTCATCGTTTCACACATTTATCGTCAAATGTAAACTCACAGGTCACATTAGGCAAAGCGAAGCAGGTTTATCAACAGTTTAAAGCTCCACTAGTTGACCCGAGTCTGCACGCTGTCAAAGTAAACATCAAACAAAAAATTATTACATGTTGTATTTTTAAAACAACCACACAACTTTGCTTTTAAGTCTGCTAGCTTAATGCTAACACACAATGGACAACACTATAGCTGGGC